TTGCCAGGAGGCCCACCCAAAGTATTGCAGCGGGCCCGCCCAAAAAGAATTGATGCAAGTACTTGATGTCACACTTGATGCTGACAATCATAGGCTAAAAAGCTTGCAAGACCCCAAAGTTTGACAGTGCAACTGTCCACCTGAAATTAGTCCATATAAATACTTGGCTTCCTTTAAGCACAACTATGTCAGATGCAACAGAACATGGAGAAAGAAGCCCAAACATAGGTACGCCTTCGCCTTGCCACTGTCCCCGGCCGTGACATAGTCGGGGCGCAAATGCTTAGTGTCAGCCCCCAATTTCCCCCATGTCTCTTTCTCTTGCGGACAAGTTTGTTGCTATCCTTGTTTATTTATTCTTATTTTTCCCGGGGCTCATTTCATTATCTGGCATGTGGTCACGTGCGTTTGCTTGCGAATCCTTGTCGGCACGCCGACCGCATGTTCTGCCCCCAAAGCGCGCAGCTTCTCCGAAACACCGGAGAAACAGGAACAAATCGTGAATTCCTTACATGCAGGTAGCCTCTCAAGAAGGGTGGCCCTGGCCATCAAGAAGGACACAGCATCTTGAACTTGGGCTTCCCCTTTTCTTTGTGTTTGGTTCAGACAGGCAAATCCCGCAAAAAACAAGGCGGAGCGCCCCCCGCCTCCCTCCCCCAACCACCTAAACAAGTCAAATGCTTGAACAAACTAGATTTCTGAACTAAAGAATCAGACCACCCAGATCACTGCACAAACCCCTCCGTATCTTGTCCCCAAATCGCCAGAGGATTCCCATGCGGGGAGAAAAAAAAAAGGGCACTCCTTTTCTGGTAGTTCCGCTACAGTGCTCAAGACCCCCACCCTCCCCCCCCCCCCCCGCCAATTTGGGTGTTTAAAGGTACCCTTCCGCAAAGAAAAAGGAGAAAAAAAGGGGCACTCTTTTTCTGGCAGCTGCAATTCCCATGAGAAAAAAGGGCGATCTTTTTCTGGTAGCTGACGGTAGCTGTGTTTAAAGGGAACCCCCTCAAAACGAGAAGGGACAAAAAGGGGCTCTCCACCCACCCCCCTTCCCAAATTGGGTGTTTAAAGGGAACCCCCCCCCTCAAAAAAGAGGAGAAACATGGGCGCTCTTTCTCTGGTAGCAACCCCTCAAAAAGGGACCCCCCCCCAAAAAAAGAAGCAAGGTTTAAAGGGAACCCCCTCAAAAAAAGGGGGGAAAAGGAAAAATCAAACCCAAAAAAAGGGGGAAAAATCAAACAAAGAAAAACATCTAACAAATGAAGAAAAAAGAGAGAGAGAGAGAGAGCAAAAAACGGGGTTCGCACCCCTTTGAGGGGCTGGGGTCTGGGGACTTCAGCCCCGCTCCTATCGTGAGCCCTGCGGCGGCCCCGCTCCAGCAGCAGCTGGCCCGCGCGCGCCACCACGGGGCCGAAGTGGTCCTGCGGATCTCTGGAGAAACCAATGGGAATTCCAGCGCTTCAACTGGAATTCCAGGTACAAAGGGATATACCAAAAGGGAATACCAAACAAAAAGGGAATACCACATGGAAAGGGTGCCCATGCGGGTCTGCCTCCATTCTACTTGGTTGACGTTGGAAGGGGAGCAAAAATGGAAAAAAATAGCAGCTAAGCGGGAATTTCAACCACTAAACAACAATAAGCAAAAAAGTAAAATGTTTCCCAACAACAACCATGTCTAGGGGTTTTCCCGGTTGAACCCTCAAAAACGACACACCCAAATGTCTAGGGGTTGGTTCCGATTCCATTCTTTTCAGCCGTCGTTCTTTGCAAAAACCGGAGCCGTTTCCCCAGGGTTGTTGGTGGTTTTCTAGAAAGAAGGATCCCTGGAAAGAATGGGGAAGTTACCCCTAGATCAATGGTTTCCCTTTGGAACCACCCCAAAAAGGCACACCCGAAGAAAGACATACCCAGGCGCTTCCTCAACGGGAATTTTCCAGGTATACCACACATCCGTATGACTTATCCATCCTTTTTGGATGCCTCATTTTTGCAGGCTTCGAACAGGAAGCCAACAAGTCACAAACCATACTTGGATGACTAGCCCAACTAAGTGCTCGGAAACCCCCCGTAGGATTCGTCCCTTAACGTTGCAGGATCAATCGTCCTTCGACGACATGCCAAACTAAGCTGATCATCCACGTGCCCTCGGCGCCTGAAATCGGGACTCGGCGAGTCCGTGTCAAAACCTGGTCTTAAAGCCGCACCATCTGTGGGTGGGTCTGTCAATTGCCAACCGTCACTTGCACGGATCTTGATTGTGGCTTACCCTTGTATTAGTCGCGGATCAAAATCAGGGCTTGGGCGAGTCAACCCCTTGTTCACACATGCTTAAACCAGTATTGTCCAAAAAATCCCATCCTTCATAAAACCTGAACTGGCGTCTGGTACTCCCAAGCCCTACATCCATCATAGAATATGTAGCGGCTAAACAAAGGATGTATCGGGGTCGTGGAAATGATCGTAGATGAGTATTCAAGTCAAAACAAAACAAAAAACACCATGATTCACACCGAACAAAGAAATCGTGGATGGCACTTGATGACTCCTGTGCTTGACTAAATGAAATCTCTTGTGATTTGTGAACCAGCATGTAGAAAGCAATTGTCCCAAACCATTGTTAAGCCCCAGCACCTAGAAAATGGTATGACAAGTCCCCTGAGTTGCTGCTTTGTCCATGTCCGATTGCACTGGGGTATTCGAGAAAAAAAAATGGGATGCACACCCAAAAACCTTTCACTTTAGGTTCTACCTTCAGTGCCACAAGGGCCGTACATTTCCTCATCCATATCATTCTTCAACACCTTTCTAGGCCTTACTATAACCCTTGTTAAACCAGGTAGGAACCAAACCACCGACTAAAACAGCCCTTTTTTCATGCATGCCAGGCTCCCATGCTGCAGTCCCGTTCGCACTTGGCGCCCCTATCCCCACCTGAACAGTGGCCCCTACACGGGTCCCACACCCACAGTTTCTGAAGGGTATGATGTCAACCCCTGACGAAAAAAGCAGGCGCTTCCCATAATGACTAACTAACTAACTGACTAACTGACTAACTGACTAACTGACTGACTAACTAACTAACGGAACGCCGGGTTCTTCAAATTAAGTCCATCAAAAGCCAAAAAAAAGCCGGGTGAGGGTTGTTGGAGCGAAAAGGGGGGGGGGAGCTTGTGCAAGCCAAAGATCGTCTCTGTTCCTATGTTCCTGCGACTTCAAAGAAACATACCCAAGAGCAACGGGGCCGGGTATACTGGGCCCATGAAAGTGACATCCTCAAAATGATCCTCTGAGTGGTACTTTAAAGGGCAACCAAAAGGACATGAGCCCCAAAAAGTGTTGAAGTGGTAAGAAAGATTAACCCTCAAATATAATGTTGACCCCCAGTTTATAAATAGGGAGTGTGGGTCTGATTCCCCACCAAACTCAGATAAACTGGTTGATAATTCATATGGGTCAACATTATGTTGGAGAACCAAGATCTCAATTTTCAGAGACCCAGAATTCACTTGGTCCTGCAGGATGTCCACGGCCAAACGTACCGCGCTGTCGCACTCCATGGCAAAGGGCAAAGGACTCTGCCCATGTCGCACGGAGGCGTCTTCGGCGTCTTCGGCGTCTTCGGGGTCTTCGGCGGTTTGGCCAGAGAAGCTGGGGTCTGATGCGTCTTGGGGCGTGTCTTGTGTTCGGGGAAGCCCCAAGACGGTAGGTTTTCCGTTTGAACTTGATATTTTTTTTGAAAACCACAAAGAAGGTGGTGCCTAACAGACAGACCAATTTGCCTTGCCCCCGCTGTTTCGGGGGAGGGGGACGGTTTCCTTTTGGCTTCACTTTGCACCATCGAAACAAAGAATCACACCTCGTGGATTGGCCCTTCTGTTGCATCCTGAAATGCTCTCTCCGAAAAGCATGCAGACACTGGGCCCGTTTTCAGCTCCCCCGCTCAAAGTGACGAACTTGTGGGTTAAATTCGGAACGTCCAACCACTGAACACTAAAAGGCACCGGATGGCTGGGGGCCACCAAGGACAGTCATCTGGGGAGTGGCAAAAAAGGTCTTCGACCTCCGCTGTCTTCCATTTGACTCTGTCGCTGTCGGTCTTGAATGCTGCGACACTGCAGCCCTTTTGCCGAACCGACAAAAACAGCAGAAGGCGTGGTCTCCTTTGGATAACTGGAAAGTTGATGGCTGTTGCCTAAAAACGAGCCAGCACCCCGCAGAAGGCTTGGTTTCCTTCGGATTCCGTTCAAACACCAACAGCAAATCGAGACAGTTTCAGGTGCACGATCTCCAGCTCCGCCCAAAAAAAAACGAAAACGCCCCTGCCTCGGTTTTTTAAAATCCCAGGTCTTTCGGGCTCCAGCCATCAAGGTTCCTCCAGTTTGCCTCTCTCCCTTGGCTTGGGTCGTGGTTTATATGATCCTGGATCCCAAACCACCTCAGGATGGATGGAGCTTTCAGAGCGACCGCTCTGGAAAACTTCGTCCGGAAGAAAACCGTTCCATGCAAACCGCTCCATGCAAAGCGTTCCTGCTGGTCTGCAAAAAGCGCTCCTGCTATGCTGGTCTGCAATCTGGCACCGTACCTCTACTGAATTGACTTGACTCACAATCCAAACCTACAAAAAACGTGGTAATCCCGGAACCAGGTAAGAGAATTAAAAGGGGGGCCGCAACTATTTCTGGCTGGGATTGTCCCTACTAACCTTCATCTACTTCATGGAAAGACTCATTCTACCACTTTGATGAAGAGCATTTTGGACATCTGTCTTGGAGGATCACTCGGCCATTTTAGAAAGTGTGAAGCCACCTGACTAACCACTTTCTAACTTGGCCGAACACCCAAGTGCCTGTTTGTTGCAGTTTCAAGTGTCTGTTGGGAGGGGCCCCTTCTGTCGTGGTTGTAAAAAGCGCAAAGAGAAGACCAGAGCCATGTCGGGTGGCCCTCAACACAAGCAAGGCCCGTTCGCGGAGCCCCTTTGCCGAGCACATTCTCGCCGCCTGAACCGCCGGCGACGCCCCCACATCCGCCATGAGGGCCTTTGCCTGGCGCTCGCGCGGTGCTGGGTCTGCCGGTGTTTGTTTTTTTGTGGGGGAGGGGGGGGGGGGGGGGATGCCTGTTTTGGGGAAGATCTCACCACCATTTTGGGTCTGTCGTTTTCTTTTAGGGGGGGGGGAGTTTGTTTTGGGGAAGGTTTTAAAGGGAAACCAAAAGGAACACCAGCCATATTTTGAGGTTCCCAAGGTTCTGAGACAAACCGCATGTGTCAAAGGGGGAATTCGATTTGGCGATTTTCCCGTTGGTTTTCCTTTAGACCTTTACCAAAGAGGGTACCCAAAAGAGGGTGCCCAAAGAGAGTACCCAAAGAGGGCACTCCCAGACTCGCCAGGAAATCCACTTCGCAGTTCGTGGCGAAACGCTGAGCATGAAGGCCTTCTTCATCCAATCAGTTTCCCTCTCATTGGTGGGAGGGGATTCGCCCGTTTACCCTCTACAAAGCCAAGGGTTCAAATCCGAATCCAAACCACCAACCACGGGTTACCTGATCTAAGCTGGCCCAGGAGCTTCTAAGAGAGAGCACATTGTGGCATGAAAACTTGGGCCCGTGGCAATGGTGTCCTTCATAGAAGCCTGGCTGAAGCTTGTGTATTGCTACGGACACCAAATGCCAGGGTCAGTTCACATTGGTAAACTCGTGTTCCGATGGCCGAAGAGAAAGCCCATGAAAATGTCTCGCCCATGGAAAAGCAATCGCCGAAATTCACCTCGTCGACACGGAGAATAAATGGCAAGTTCCCAACCAAGCCATGTCGCTTCTTGCAGCTCATGTTGTGTTTTGTTCTTTTTTACATGGAACTCCCTACATTCCCCCCTTAAACATCATCACACCAAAGCACTCCGGGTGATGGGTGTCGCATAGGCGCAAAAAAAATAATGCACAAAAAACACACTCAATATGCAAGCTCGGAGTCTAGGCTGTCAGGTTGATACAATGTTTGCCGAAACTGCGCTCTTCATGGCAAATACCTCCTGTTAGTCAGAGGTTGACAAATCATCCCAACAAATTATGCTGTCCCCTGGTTTCAAATTGCGCAGGTGTTCATCCCATCGTGGAAACCAGGTGGAAAAACCTGGTTTTAAAGTTGGTTCAAAGGGAAAGGAGAAAAAAAAAACTCGCCCCGATCCCAACTCAAATCCCTACGCCCCAGGCGAGCCTCTCGACGTTTGTGGTCCAAGGCCTGAAACGTTCCGAGAGTCGCCAAATCCCCCGTCCATCTAAGATGGTGTGTGATACTGTGGATGGTTGCGAAATCCTCTTAGGCACCACCTAAGACATCCTGGAATGATTTGTTTCCCCTGTAAATACTAGCAAGCAATGGTTTCAACCATGATTTCAACGTGGTGCGAAATGGGTTTCGTCCACCCACAGTAGTAATGTAAAAAACTTGAACATGCCATACATGCAGTAAAGGAGGTCTGAAAAACTGAGAAAATAAATTTCGCAGCTATAAAGGTATCTGCAGCGCACTGCCCCCAAAGCGAAGCCGAAGCCACCAAGAGCTGAATGGGATATGCCGCCACGTGTTCCAGCCACATACAGGGCGACCCCAATTTTCCCCTCGTAGCTTCGGTGTGGAACCAGTGGACACCACCTTCTCAAAAAGTCTCGGAAAGACCCCGCCCTCTTTCATCCCAAGTTCTGATCGACTCCAACAAAAAATAAAACCCTCCACGCGAAGCAACCAGCAAAAAGGGGAAATCCTACTTTTGAACATCTTCTTGCTGGGTATTTGGGGGTTGATCAAAGGAGCCCACGAACACGGGATGACCAGTGCAACGAGAAAGCCACGAGAAAAATGTGATACATTTCAACCACTCAATGGGAAGAAGCGTACCGGGGCCAGGAATACAGATCAAGCCAACCATTTGGCTGTGGCAACAAAAAAAAACGGAATTCCACAATGGCTTGCCCTGGTCAGTGGAAACCTGGCTTACCCAAAACCCGCGGTTTGCCCCCCGCCCATTTGGCAAATGTGGTTCTCTAACTTCCATGGCCCGGATTCCGACATGGGAAAACGGTTGTGGGAAAAGCTCCCTGTCGAAAACGAACCCACGGACGGACAGCAAAAGTGACCAAAAGTCTGCATGGGGATCTCACTCTTAGAGGCTTTCCAAATTTCGGCTTCTCTATAAGAACCGACCTGAGAGTGTTCTTTTGACCCCAGACTATTCGAATTTGGAGGAAGAATAGGAGGGGGTTCCCCGGGTTCCCCCCCAAAAAGGAAAGGAGATCCCTCCAAAATTGGACACCCCCCTATGAATCACGTGGGTGTATTCATCCTCAATAACCCACCACCCACTCATCCACCCATCCACCCACCCACCCACCAACCCACTGACTGCCCAGGATGTAGGATTGAAGATTTCCGGACATCTTCAACCTTACCTCTTCAATCCCAGCATGTATTGATGCAAGAAGCACCCCCCCTCCACCCTGGCAGTTTCTGATATGTATCTCGGATTCTCATGCACAGAAGAAAAAAAAACTGTGGTTTTCTGGCCATGCTCAAAAGCTCGAGGTGCATGTGCCCTGCCTGCTGCTGCGAGTACAACTCCTCCAGCAGTCCCCACAAATGCTCCTCCCGCCGCAGCGCCGCAGGGAAGGAGCGCCGCTCCCCTCGAGCGGAAGAGGAGCCGTGCGTCGCGAGTCGCGAATGCTGCAGCTTTGGGCTGGGCGATCGATCAAAATCCTCCATGTGCGAATCAGTCCAGTGGAAAAATATGTCCAGTGGAAAATGGAAGTCATGGAGGGGTTTGGTTGGGGTCTTTCCAGGTCAATAAGGCATTCTGAACCTAGGAACCGATCCCTAGGTACAAACCACACAACAAAGCTAGAAACTCAGCTGGCGTTTGGAAAGAACCTTGGCAGCGAAAACGAAAAGGGAACAATCACTAGAAATGCAAGGACCCTGCCAGGTATAGCGTTCTCTCTAAGAACGTGACGTACTATCCCAAATTGATCTCTCTAAAAGAGATAATGTGGGTTTGTCTCACCAAGGAGAAGCAAAACCAATTGAGACAGTTTGAGGGGTCCCGTATGCAGCGTTTGTGACACCATTCAGTGGTTGATTCCCATCCCCAGCTTATCCTTGTCACAAGATCGGATGTGTTGGCTGTCAAGAGTGGGACTTCACACAACACGAAGCCAACACCAGAAAGCTTCCCAAACCCCCCGCTGTTTTTTCAGGCACATGGGTGAGTTTTTGAGGGTACCCCGTGTAGGTGCTCTTAAAGGTAAACCAAAAGGATGACTGATACCCACTACTTTGGGGGGCCCAACCTCAAAAAGACACGCCCATCTTGCACAAAACACTATTTTCCTCCACAAAAACCTCCTTTCTTTGTCGGGGTTGTCGTCATGCCATACCCTGGAAAAACAGTTGCTGGTTCGATAGACAGGGAATGAGAAATGGAATGACCCCCAAGAAAAACCATCCACCTGGTGGGTTTCTAAGGGAACCCTTAGCTCATTCCCAACACCCGGAAGGTTCTTTCCCTACACCAACGTGACACCAACTGGTGGTTTCCTTTGTTCGGGAATCCCCAAACGGTTCGTTCCCAACCCCCGGGCCCTATCGCAGCAAGAAAAGGTGGGCCTTAGGTCTATGGCATAAACCTACATTTGCCTAAGTCCGTTGCAGTAGTGACGCAGCCCCCTTAAAACCAACAGGGGAAGCTAAAGAATCTTCTTAAGCAAATGGAAGTAAATGTGATGCGGATGCTTTGGCTTCCTTTTGGTTTGCCCCTGAAAAAAGCAGCAGTCGGCTCAAAGAAGCACACGGCCATGTGGTCACGTCAGGGGTGCCCTTTGCAGTGTGTCACTTTGAGGGCACAAAGACACACCCAAGTAGTTGGCACCTTCGGAAACTTAGGCTCTGCTCCACTTATGAAAATATGTTGGCCCCCAGGAAATATTAGAATTCCCAAACCACCCGCATTGATTCGCAAAAAAAGTCACCAACTATAGTTCCCAAACCAAAATCAGGAAGCAAAGCCAAACGGCTTGCGAGTCAGCTCGTCGTTTTATCTACCCAAACTTCGCGCTCAAGTGAGCTCATCCCGTGCTCCCATCTTCTGGAAGGCAGACAGACACGGATCTATGATCGTTCTCCAAAGCGCTGTCATTGCTTATTCATGGCTCACTCACGAGACGTCCAATCCAACAAACAGTCTCTGCAAGAGGAAAGAAACCTGCATCATGGGCAGCCGGCGGCAAACCTCGTTCGAATTGGTCCGGAGATATTATTGAGTCTGGTGATCCAAGTACATGAACCGCTGGTTTTTTGGATAGTTCACTGATAGTTGTGGCTTAGTTGCACCAGCTCCCGAATCAACCGAGCAGCCCAAAACCGTTAACTGTTGGTCCTATCAACATGGCTATCAAGGTTTGTGAAGCCTGACTTCTACCCCAAAAAAAGTTTGAGAAACTCTCACTGGAGTACACAGACATGTTCAGATTCCCATTCATATTGAGTAGCCTTCTTTCAATACAAATCGATTGAGGAGACCCTATGAAAGCCCCACGGCAACCGATTCATGTGGACGGATGAACTCCATCCAACGCACCGTTCAGAAGCCCAACGGTTTCCGATCCTTCTGTAAATCACAACAAACCTGGCTTCAACCATGGTTTCTTAGGTGCGCAATGGACTTGGATTTCGCGTCGCCATCCGCAGTAAGAAATTCTTAAAGGCCACCGATTCATGGGGACCACCTTTTCGGGGCCCTTCCACAGGGATCCGGATGCATGAAAAAGACCGATCGAACATTGCAACTTGGTAAATGGAGGCGTCCAACTTTATTTTGGTCAAATGAAAAAGCCACATGTTTCAAATGGTTGCAAAATGGATTTCTTTTGAGGAGCCCTGTTGAAAGGAGTCAGCTTTGGACGCTCCAACATCGGGCCGCCCGCCGGGGGCGGCTGCCTGCCGTCGAAGAAGCCGCCCCGCGAAACGGTGCTCCCGGCCTGTCTGCAGGGCCGCCTGCAAGTCCCGGGTCAGAAACTCCTCCAATGGCTCCGAGGGCTCAGCAGGCGAGCATCGGGGTCCTTTTTGGGGAAATCCATGGGTACACCAGTGGAACCCATCTATGTCGAACCAACCTCACCCAAAAAGAACCGTTGGAGAGGCTCACAGGAGGTGTCCTTGTTGGAGAAATAGATGGGTTTCCCTGGTAGATCGCTGTCCTTTTTGGGAAAATGTAGGTAAACCAGTGGAACCCATCTATGACTAAACCACCTTCACCGAAAAAGGACACCTATGCCCACAAGACCAGGAATCGCCAAACCTACAAAATTACCGGAAAACGGACACCTATGCTCACAAGCCAAAAGGAATCCCAGGTAAACCAGCGGAACCCATCTATGTCTAACCCACCTTCACCGAAAAAGGACGCCAAAAGGCACACAAGATAATGTCTCTCTCAGGAATGATCCCTCGCAGGTGAAAGTGAACATCCTTTGCATGGGCATCCTGAGAAACTTTTTGGGGACATTATCTACCCACCTTTTTGATGTTAACTTTTTGGGGGACATCCTTTGCCTGGGGCGCGTTCATATCTACCCACAACCTCAGGTTGTTCCCACCGCTGAATGCGGCCCGTGGGAAGCCATGGAACATAAGACGGGGCCTTCGGTTCGGCGGGCAGCGAGCTATGCCTTTTGGCTTTTGGGGAGCATGCATAGACAAAACAGGCATGTGTGTGTGTGTGTGTGTACATATGTATGTGTATATATATATATATATCAATATATACATACACTCATATCAATATATATATATATATACACATATGTATGGAGGATAATGCACGTGGGCTTGCTCGATTCAAAGCGAGGCTCGGTTCATGCTACAATCCAGATTTCACTTGGCGGACGGCTTTTTGATCTAAAGGCTCTGGTATGTTCCCCAAAGTGTTTGCACCAGGAAGGTTTTGAACTTCGTCGTTGGGGCGCCCATTTCACGTGAGTTTTCTTTGGTGGGGGCGCTGTGTCCTCGAATGCTGTTCATGTTGTTCATTTTTCTGGGGTGACTTCTTGTTGCAATCAGGCATTGCGTTTGGTGTAACAATGCGCTTGGTGAAACAGGGCTATATGGTTTTCTCCGGCAGCTGAAAAAACTTTTGGGTCGTTGCCCAAATAGGCTCCGGAATGTTTCGGAGCAGGTTTGGGCGTGTTGCGGGTTCCAGAAGGGCTCCGGAAGGGTGCACCGGTTGGGATACCCTTTTGATCAGGGTTCCCCACAACACCTCCAAGCGATCTAAACAAGCTCGCCAATCCAAACAAGCAAAGTGCAGGTGAGCTGACGTATCGCGTGCTCAGTTGGCGGTATGGATGGCTCATGTATTGGGGAAGCTGCGGGATGCCACTGGGAAACAAACACCATATGTGGAGTTGAGTGCCTTCCCATCTCTCGCCGCACGAGATGTTTTTTCTCTGTGCTGGGCAGGCGCGGCGTGCTTGGCATGCAACTTCTGAAAGGACACCCCCCAAAGCAATATCTCCAGTAGTTTCACAAGCGACGTAAAATACAGTTTTCTTGTTTTTCTGATTGTTATATCACCACACAAACACCCGCTCCGGAACAATCTCTCTCGCGGCCGACAAACTGGGAGTCGAAAACCATCACCCCACAAACATGCTTGTGGCAGAAAGCGAGCATGCATGATGTCTCAACGTGGCAAACCCCTGGGATGGTGTCCGTTGTCGTCCCCTTTAAAACAGAGCTCTAAGATGGGTACCCCAGACTTCAAAAGGCTAAATGTAAGAACCCAAGAAAAACCATTTTTACTTTGGACCCAAGCCACGCAACTAACGGTTCATTAACCCATAAAACTAGGCTAAGGGTTCGTACCAGGGGTTCAAAACATTCGGATGTCTACATTCACCCGTTGAAGAAAACTGAACCTGAGAGAATATGGCGGTGGGTCAAAACTAAACCAAATAAACCACCATGGGACCACACGTTCAATCCATGTTTCCATTTACCAGGGTTCCCATTTCGGGTACATATGGCTTTGGCTCACAAACATGTGCCAAAATCGCACCTTGATATACCTTGGCAAGTGGAACCAAAGACTAAAACCTGCGTCACCCCAGCTCTTTTTGAGCCACACCCCTATTTCTGACCCGCCATACTTCCCGCCGGAAGCGAAGCTTCGCTTGAACTTCTGCCACCAGAGCCTTGAGCCTTATGACTTGATGGCAATAGGAACGCGGGAGCTTCGGAACGGATTGGCAGGATACCGTAGACTTCTGGGTTTTCTGGAGGGGCAGAGGCCATGGATTCGGCAGGATTCTAAGGCTAGCTTCCAATTCCAGTCTGAATTTCTTTCTAGAAAAGCACCCAAAACCCTGGGAAAACAAAACACCGATCGGTTTTTGAACAGAACGATGGTTAAAAAGAATGGACAAGGAAGCAACCCTAGAATAGAGAATCCGCCTCATGTTTGGGGGGGTGCAACTTTCCACCCTTCTTGGGGAGGGGGGGCATCACTTCTTGGAGGGGCCCCCATGCCCCCTTGTCCTGCCACGGGAGACGGCAACTTCCGTCCTGGACCTCTGCGTCATGCAAGTTGTCCAGCAAAAGCGCCGCCGCCTCTGGGGGGTTCAAAGCAAAGTGTCGGGGCGGTATCAAACAAACCGCTTTGGGGGACCGTCCCCCCAAAGAAGAAGGGGCAGGTTCCCTGTGCTGTCCCTTTAAACGCAAACAAAAAGGTCAGCCTCAACAAAGGAAAGACCCAAGTGGAGCCTTGGCAGCTGGGTTACTTTCAATACTTGGGCTCGTAGAGTCTGTACCAAAAAACAAAACTGGGTTAGAGATGCATCTTTGGGCTCCAATTGCTGGGTTCTCCAAATAGGAGATGGATCCCAGCACGGGTGATACCTTCCTTCGTCTAACAAGCTCCACAAGTGCGAAATCGCCCACGTGCGCCTTGCATCAGGGGCTGGCATTCCGCATGCATCCCGTCCCCACGGCCATGCAGGATGCGGCGCCAGGTTCCGCGGCCCAGTCCACGCCCGGCTGCACTGCCTCCTTCCAAAATATGTCCAGTAGTGAAATCGTTTCCCTTTAAAACCAACAAGGGAAAATAATAATAATAATAAAAAATACTCATTTCAGCAAATGGATGCCTCCCTTGGGCGCGACCATGTCCAAGGGATGCGAAAACAAAGCGGGGATGCAAGCCGCCCCCACTGCCAGGAGCTCAGCGACGCGGCGACCGCTTCCGGGGCATCCTGGAGGGTTTCCCTCTTCATCTCGATGCCAAAGGAAAGACGAGACATACGCTGTGACTAGTGGTCAAAAACTCGCCTATCGGATGAAGAATCTTGTGAATTTGGTCATGTTGTTCTTTTGCCTTAGCCCCTTTTCTTCTAATTCCCAACATCCAACATTACAGCTTCCCTCGATTTGACACTTAGGGACCCGCGCCTTCCTTCATTTGGCTTCAACAGGAACGGTTTCAAGATCCCCCCAAACCCGCCCGGTTTGTCACTGATTGAAGCGGCAAATCCTCGGATCCCTGCCAACCACTGGCGAGCCTCCCACCAAGCAGGCGCTTGTGTGCCAAAAGAGGAAAAGACGTCCATCTACAGAGGTCTCACCTAGTATGAAAGTGCGCAAAGCTCCTGAAGAGGAGAATTGATTAAATTCATCGGATATCGGGTGCACAAGCCCATGAGCCCTTTTTAGCCCAAAAGCCCTTTTAGCCCATGAGCCCCATGTTAGTCGGCTATTGCTTGTCATACTCAGCCGGGGGGTGACCAAAAGGTCCATGACCATTGGCCATTGGTTGGCAAACTGTTTGATATACTTTTTGATATACTTCTTGATCCCAGCTGAGCGGTTTCCCCGGGACCCCTGGACCCCCGGCGGTCTGGCGATCCACGCCCAGGCCGTGAAACCCGCAGCCTCGGTCGACTCGATCCAGACGACGTCGAGTCGACAGGGGTTCGGAACCCCAGGCGCCTGGTGATTTCATGGGCGAGTGGTCTTCAGTGTCAATGAGCTGGCCGTTGGTTTCATTCTCCTTAGAAATTGTTGGCTAGTCTTTTATTGGCGAAGCGTTGATTTCCAGAAAGCAAGAAGTGTTACTTAGCTTCATGTCTTGTTAGGTGTTGTCCTTCATTCGCGCCCTTCAACCAGCAGAAACAAAACAATACTGTTTGGGAAATTGGATCACTTGCTGGTTAGGCAGGGAATTAGAATTGGAATAACTCCGAGAGACGCCATCCCCGATTTGGTGTTTCTTTTAACGGGACCCCCAAAACCGGTTCATTCCCAACACCAGGTCTCGGTCATTCCCGACTGAGCACCTGCAATCATTGGGAGTCTACTCAAGACCAAGTTTGCCCACAGGTAAGTTTCCTATGGGCGCAATAAAATACTATACAGAGCTGAAGTAGTAGTAGCTCATTAATCAAAATGATTGCTATGGTCTTAAAGTACCACGCAACCCCATTATGATTCTCGAACTCCCGGGTGCTCCATTTTTGGACGCCAAACGCGCTGCATTTCAGAAGGGAGTGAGGGAATGCCCACAGGTGTCCTTTAAAATAGATGGGTGTTTGTAGCAAATGGGCACAAAACCCATCTAAACCGGTGGTGTTCCATCTATACCTAACCGAACTCGAACACCTGGAACCACAAACCGAAGCATCCACCTCCCTCAGGCTCAACTCGCCCCCTGAAAAGAATGGCAAAGGGGACCCAGATAAAGCGGACAATCCTGAATGGCTTATGGTTGCCCTGTCCGTTTCGGGGTCCCGGTTCGGGTCACGGGTTCCTTTAAAAGAGGCCATTTCTCTGGTGGGTTCCAGGCTAATGGACAGGTTTTATGAACCCCACTGTTGTTTTAATGGTGGTTTGGAACCCCAGATATTCGAAAGCTAGTTTTGTTTTTAGATGATGACAATCCATAGGTAAACCTTACGGTGGTTATACTAACCCAACCAGCGCTGTAATGGTGAAAGCTGCCTGAATTCCGGGGAACTGGTAGCCTCCTACCCCTGCGAGTCAGCGATCGAACAGCTGTTCGCAGCGGATCCCACAGCCGAGGGATCACTAGTCACTGCTTGGAAGCCACCTGGGGTGTAACCCCCCTGTAGCAAGGTTAGCCACACTTGGGGGAGCTTGCAAGTGGGTCGTATAGGTTACCAACAGCTTACCTTGGCAAATCGAACGGACCAGTACGGACCAGTACTTCTCATGGCTTCCATTCCTTCCCATGGCTTCCTTTCCCATGGCTCTGAATCAGTGGGCAAGCTTGCAGATTTTTTTTTTCCAGAGGCGGCCTTCCCACGGCCTGTACTTTCTCGGTAGGCCCGAGACAATTGCGCGTCTCAGTTGCAATGAAGAGTCTCGGTTGCGAAATCTGCGAAGCCCGGCTAAAAGTGAAGAACTGTTAGTGGTTTAATACGGAAAACCCAAGAGTTGGCAAAAAGTTGAAGTCCTAGCAGCCAAGCAAAATGCAACAAAGGAGTGTTTGTCCTGCGGTCTTTTTCCCAGCTGAAGCTTCGGGGTCTCTGCCCAGATAGTGGGGTGGCTTGGGGCAGCTGTCAGGGAGGTTTTCGGAGAATTCCAGGCAATTCGGAGATGCCACCTGGGCTTCTTTTAAGAATCGGACCACCCGCAAGAATGGCGAGCAACGGTTTTCTTTTCGGTCTCCCGAAAAACACACACACACACCCACACAAGCGCCCATCGCTGGGTGCCGGGGCTGTGGTCAGCAGGCATCCGCTCCACTAGGAAACAGCCGCCGCCCTGCGCGTACCTCGTAAGTGTCTGCTGTTGGCCAAGCAACTAGTTTGGATTCGTGGGCTTAGACGGAGTCAACATGGACATGAAGTTTTAGCTGACTCTGTTGTTGACATCAAAATTCGGTGGAAGGTGAGCTTGTCAAAACCACTTTAATTTAAATCAGGGACCCTGGGGTCATCAAAATTCAGTCGGGGGTGTTGTTTTTGTCCAACCACTTTAACTTTAATTAGGGACCCTGTGGACTAAAATTCGGTGGGGGGTGAATCTGACAACTTTTGATTTCTGAACAAATTTGTATTTCATGTTGGCTTTTGTCCAACTCTTCGAAATCACAAAAATGTCAAAATCAAAACCTGGTACCTTTGCAGTCGTTGCCCCCCTGAAAAACAGTGAGCAAATATGTGTCGAGTGCCAGACTGCCAACCCGGGGAAATCAAAAGACAAATCTTAAGCACATGGAAGAGTACTAGAATGGTCTGTCCAAGCACGCAAAGAGCGGAACGGGCGGAACTCCGCGCCCCGATTTATGGGAGTTGAGCGCGGAACTCCACCAATTTTGTGTAAACAACCTCCCTTTGGCTTCCCTTTCAAGAGTAATTACAAGATGGTTGAACTCTCCGACCCCCCCCCAACCCCCCCAACCCCACAAAAAACGTCTCCTCCAAATGAGTTGCCTCCACTTCTTTGTGACTTCTTTCTGAAAATTTTGGGGAAACAGTCACCAGAAGAAACGCAACCTGACTGAAGGGCTCCGATCTGATTCCTTCGAAAGCAGCCGGCGCAGGGTCGCATCAAACCATTCATACTGCGGATGGACCAAACAAATCCTGCACCAGTCGGTGTGAAGCGGATTGGGTCCAACGCATTCCGAGAAAAAAAGAAGAAGAAAAAAGAGAAAAAGGATTAAACAAAAAAAAAAACGCCCGCCTCAGGTCCAAGTGCCTGGAAGGGTACCTCGGCTTCAAGCTTCCCGTCCCATCAAGTGGTTGGGTCGGCCAAAAAAACCTGCGAAACGACGTATGGTTTGCGTCAAATGGGGATTTGGACCCAAATCGCGCAACGGTGTTCCTGTTGGCTTACGGTGTCAACAAACATACACGCAGACACACACTCACACACACACGTTCTCAAAAAGGGGGCTCAACAACAAACATGCACACACCTGCATCTTGAAGAAGGGCCCAGTTTGATACATTCGTCGTGGTGTATGATTGTATCAGCAAAAACCTGTCAAAGCCACATTTGCAGACGTTTCTTGCCTGATTTGGGGAGTCGTGTCGCCTCACGTGACTCACACGCCGCTGGATCCCTTCTCATACCCAGGGCCAAGGCCTGAGGCAACCACATACTGGGCTGTTCAAAATGGAGGGTTGGGAAGCCCACCCAAGGTAAGGACTAAGGATTAGCTTTGAACAGACCAGACATATTTCAGCAGTCATTGACAATTATCTCGCCTATAGCAACTCTGGTGGGTTCCAATCGGCTTTGATTGTGGGACTCACGGTGTCATTTGATCTGAAAGCGACGGCGGATAGACGGCTTCGGGGCCCCTTTCATGGCTGGTCTTAAGGATGTGAACCAAAAGGGAAAAACCGTGACCATTTTGTGGGGGCGCTAAAGGAAACATGACCAGCCACCGGATTTTGTTCTTCAAGAGGACATGATCACCTTGCGGGCCCTCCTCGGACCCAATTTGGGTCTTCTGGAAGTGGCTCTGGCCGGACCCCATCGCGGCAAATCTGGATGCCCTGATCAAACACGGCCTGTACCACGATTGCTCAATGAATACATCGCCTTTCTTTGGGGGGTGTTCCCTTGAAATGAAGGCTATAGACATGTTCTGCCTCAGTCTGGTTCAACCTTGTCTGAGACATAAACCCCCTGCAAAAAGTTGTTGCTGGCTGAAAGGAACCATGGCGTGTCTTTGTTGAGTTTTTCCTCGTTGGGGTGTTGTTTCCAAAAGGAAACCACGCCATGTACGGAGGGGGGGGGGCCCAACCCAAGAAACAGACACGCCCAAATGAGGGAAATGCATTTCAGGCAGCAAAGACTTGAGCACAAGCGACCCGTCCGTGTGCTGGGGCAATGGCCCAAACGCGGCAAGTCCGGTGTCCGGTGCCTCTTCTGCCTGGCGGCAAATGAAAAACAAACACGGAAAAAGCGGAGAGGAAAAAAATGGAGGGAAAAAAAAGAAGAAAAACAAAGGAGAAAACACACGCCACTGAGACAGAAAAACGTGGGGCTTAAAAGTATCCTAACAGTTGTGGTTTTCCTTTTGGTGTCCCTTTAAAGCCACCAAAAAAAGTATCCTCAAAAAGCACAGACCAATGTCCCAAGCAAACAATGGAGTGCACGAAATGTTGACCAAATTTCATGCGCGCCTGCCAACTATCCAACACAGGGCCACGAAGAATAGCACATGACGTGAGGTCAGGCACCACATAGACTAGGGTCAGCCTCGCATCTATCCTCAAGACCCTACTCGTCAGTGACCCCCCTAAAACGAATCAATTGAGTCATAATCAAACCCCGGTATTAAAATGTCTACCCAGAACCATGTAAAGAGCTAAGAAGGCGGCCGCAGCTATTTATAGCTGGGATCGTCCCTTACTAACCTTCATCTACCCGGGTTTTGATTGTGACTCATTTGATCATTTGCTCACTCACCTGGACACCACTCCTCAGTACTCCGGCTTCATCCGAGTGCTTCTGGGGGTCAAACGAAAAATCCACCAAAAGGTCCAAGGGGCGCTTGGGAGCCACGCCAAAGACCCATGTCTTGACCCAAAGGACCAGCCTCGGCCTGGATCGGGATGGGGGACTGCCAGGAAGTTTGGTTCGTCTTCCGGTTCCTGCGAGTCCGAACCGACCCGAACCAACCCGAGCCGCGATTCGCGGACAACCCCTACGCGCCCCCACGAAAAAACCTGAAAGTGCACACATGCCTTTTCGAAGGCTGCTAGGCTAGGTTGTCTTCCCAGTTCCATCATTTTCCAGGAAAAACTGGCTCCTTCTTTAGTCAAGGGCTGACCAATCACACCCCGTACTCTGAAAAAAAGGTGGGTACTTGGAGGGGTCGTCCACGCTTCCACTCGATCCGATGCTTAGATCGCTTGGAGGGGTCGTCCGCGCATGCGGAATCGAATCGAACCCCTGCCACTCGATACGATTCTTCCATCGGTCCAGAAGTACGGCCGCCCGGCATCTGTGCGAAGCAGTTCCCAGCCGGCAGGCAGCCTGACCGAAAGCTGGCAGGGGAGGGAGGAGAGAGGGAGCCCAAATAAGCCCCGAATAAGGGCTTCTTAACTTGACTGCTACAGTACTGGGTTGGATCTTTAGACTTTAACTTTTTGGGAAATCCATGGATTTTTGCACTAAACCCCCCCAAAAAAGTTAAGCTTTTTGCGGGGGGGGTCAACAGCAACCAAGTTATTTGGGCTCCCCCCCCTCCCTCACCCCCAGCCCCCATGATGAATCCACGGCATTTTCAGGGATGCGTGTCGGAGGTATGGAGGTTTTACACCACTGCAAGGGGTATATAGGTAATTCGTTCGCGCCACTTAAACAAACCATGGTTGAAATCATTGTTTGTTTCGTATTTACAGAGGAACCATCCGTCCAGGGATTCTCAAGTGGTGCAGGGTTTCGTCCATCCACTGTATATTACCTTACCAGCTTGTATTGGTAGTATATAAGCACCTCCATACCTCAAGAATCATCCCTGGAAATGCCCTCGACTGGGTGCGTCTTTTTTTGGAGGCGACCCCTTTGGAAATAAACGGAAAACCAAAAGAAGAAAAACAATCTTGGAGGGAAGAAACTGGGAGATGCAGCAAAGGAGCCGCCGCAAAGTCGGGAGTACCTCAAAAGTGGGTGGACATGAATCCCCACCTAAAATCAGGTCCACCAGAGGGTCCCAAGTAAAGCTCATACCCAATTCAGTGTTTCTCCAAATGGGATTCCGGCCCCTTTTGGTATTTGAAAGGGACACTAAAAGGTGATCGACACCTTTTCTGAATTTACAAAATGGACCGCTATTCTGAGAAACCCCAAAATCGCGCAAGTTCTGCTTGAGGGTTCTAAACGAGGGTGGGAAATATCCACTGTCCCGGAAGGCGTCCCAATGACATAATTCATCATCGCTAATGCAAGCGCCCACTTGCGCGGAGTCCCAAAACCCTACCAACATGGTTGTAGAGGTAGAGATGCCTTGTTAGAAGACCCATAAAACCACGATTGTGGAGCCATCTACAAAAGGGTCTTCGTGGTTTTCGGTGTTGCTCACTTGGATGACCACAGTTGTGACCACTGTTAGCATTCATCCCTCAAGTGAGTTGTATGTAGGTAAGTCCTACAGGGACAAAACAAACATGGGTTCGTCAGCAATTGTTTAACGAACAGGGCAGAAGAAGAACATATTTCCAACAGAGCTTTGCACGACACTACAAGAAGCAGGTTTCGGGAATTCCCATGGCAGATTTCACTTTGGCTCTCACGCAAATTTTCTGACCTCATAGACTCATAGACATTGCCTCAGTATCATAAGCTGAGCCTAAAACCCAACGTTTTGTTTCACCCGTTTGCTCAGGTCCTCGAAAGAATAACAATATTTCCAGCAGTGGTAGATTTCATTTAAACAGGAAACATGTAAAACGCATTCTTAAGCCAATGGAAGTTCCTATGAACCTGGCTCGAAGCTGCACCGTGTGTTTCTTCCTTACAGACCCCAACCACATTTGCTTGCCAGTGGCCTCAACGCCTCGCTCGCCCCATTCATGCCGGTCCTCGGCTGTGTCTCGCTCACGGGGTGTGGGGAAAAAAGCGATTCTTGCCGCGTGGTGGCACCAACAAAAGTCTGGAACCAAAGAAACGACAACTCCAAGAAGAAAAAAAGCACGACAAAAACTCCCGGGAGAAAACTCCAGCAAGAAAAAAACACGTGTGGAAACTAAATGAAACAAAAGAAAACAAAACAAACATGTGGAAACTTGATGAAACAAACTAAACAGGCAGGTAAACAAAAACATGTGGGGAAACTGAATGAATGAAAGAAAGCAAACAAGACGTGAACTGGATCCCGAACGACCGACAAACGCTGAACATAAACAAACGGCTGGCGTTGGATGGTATCCCTCGTGGATTTGTGAAAAGGGGAACCAAAGGAAAACGCTCTGGAGGGTCCCTCTAGCTAGAAGGGGAAATAGAGATGGATCTCTGTAGGGGGCTTTGGTAAAACGTGACCTCCATGTTGCCCTTGGGTTACGGGGCGGAACAAACAAAAAAGGGAGTGCAAGACACAGCCCTCCCCCCCCCCCCACTTTACTGTCTCCCGTGCTCTTACTCTCGCCCTTAGGGCGCAGCATGCGCTGCGCTTGTCTCAGCTGACATGGCGCTGGAAGTCGGCATTTGGAAGATTAGGTGTCTGGCCTGGACGTGCTTAGAACGTCATCTACACATTCCTGGTGACCCCAAGAAACAGGTTTGTCATTTAAATCTCTGGCCCTAACTCCACAAAATGCAAGTTGGAAAACTTGAAAAGGACATCAGAAGACCGCTGGCTTCGTCATAGTTCATGCCAAACCTGGGAAATCGCAACTTTTTCCACCGCAAACATGCTCAAACCATGCAGCATGTTAGCAATCCTTCATGACCTCAACCAACTGCATCTTCACTCTAACATGATGCTCACATGATTCACACCATGCCTTGCTCATCTAATGCCCTACGGAGCTTGAGCAAGCCCTCGAGGCAGCTGTTTCGGCATGCTGTCCAAAGCGGCGTACCCGTTCGATTTGGAACATGTCCACATGTTGGATTGCTTAAAAAGGCGAGCTTAGAGAAAGCAACAGCAGACACACCGTGTCAATTCCACTTGCTGCAACCCAGACACACACAAAGACAGACACAAACAAACACAGTGCGGACGAAGGAATGCAAGAATGCTGTCTGGCTTTGCCAAATCTTCGACAAATTATTAACTGCGCGGACCTCAGGGAAAAGTCACATTGCCAGCTAGTCGATCACCTGCGCAAAACCCAACTTCCACCATTGGCCCGCGGTCTGCCTTCGATCCTTTGTTGCTTGCGCAGGCCTGTCAACAACCTGTCCAAAAAGTTTCGGCAAATGGATTTTTGAAGGAAGCCTCAGATTATACCAACATAGTCCCATAGCAAGAATTCCAGAAAGCATCAACATTACGCAAGTTGAAGCCATCTGTTGGCTTCCGAAACACATAGCGGATGATGGGATGAAGCATTCTGAATATCTCAACGATTGCCTGCGGCGGTGTACATGTGAGCACATACTGTGGATGGACAGCATCCATTTCACACCTCAGAAACCTGGGAATGACTCGATTCCCCTCTACATGCCAACAAACGTGATGGTTCAACCACGGTTACAAAGAGGTGCGAGATGGATTTCGTCGGATTTCGTCCACAGTATGTGTATAGACTAGTTAGACACGTGTGTATACATGCGGCACACACTTAAACTCCAGATGGAGAGTGCTCATCTTTCGAGTACAACTGATGAGTCTCGAGTACAACTGATGAGTCTCGAGTATGGTGAGTTTCGACTTGCACATCACTCAGCATGACTCTAGTTACTTGAACAGGGCACACAAAAGCAACGGCGGTTCAGGGAGGGGACCAACAGGACCTTCAGAAACATCACTTCACAAAAGCAGGTACACGCGGATGATCAGTCCGCGCTTCCCCCATGGTGGCTAGCTTCGTTGGCACAGGTCACCACCATGGGCCTGTGCCCCCTGCTGATAAAATCGAAAGAGTGGTGACAGGGCATTCTGTCACTCCGCACACACACGCCCCTCAATGAGGGGCGAGAACCTCTTTTTCGGGGGGAGAAAAAAACCACGCGCCCCAAAACCGGGCGAAGACCCCAACAGAAAACAAACGGAGCAAGGGAGCCCAAGAGAAACAGAAAGGCCCCAAGTTGGGTCTCCGCGGGCAAAACCCCAAACAAGAAACAAGAACAACGGGGAAGCCAGGTTTCGGGTCTCCGAGGGCAACAACCCCAACCAGCGCAAAAACGACCTAAACCTTGTAGACGAAAGGGGCCGCGAAGGCAAAGAGGCAGAAGAGGAGCAGGCCATCCCTAACCGGGCGAACAGGAAGTACAAGAAATAGCCCAGAGGGGGAAAGAAAAAGAAAGGGAAGAAAGAAAGGGACGAAAGAGAGAAAGAAAGAGAGAGAGAGAGAGACAGACACAGAAAAAGAGAGAGAGAGAGAGAGAGAGACAGAAGCGTATTTAGGGCGTCGCAACCGCCCGGGGAAAGAAAAAGAAAGGAGCAGGGTGCGTATTTAGGGCGCCGCATCCCGCCCGGGAAGAAGGAACAAGAAGCAAAAGGCAAGGAGACAAAAAGGAGAAAAGAAGGAAGAAGGAAGAAGGAAGAGGAAGAGGGAAGTAGTAGTATGCGTTTTTAGGGCGACGCATCCCGCCCAGATAGGAACAGAGGATGAAGACCAAGGCTCGCGGAGAACGACGTCGAATCCCACACAGGGGCCAAGAGGACGGACCCGAAGTAGCAACGGAAGGGGAAGAAGACGTCAAGCCAAACTACGTGAGGAAGAAGAGGAGTAGGAACAGGAAGACAGACGCGAAGACGAAGACGAGGAAAAAGGTGAACAACGCGAGGACAACCAGGCCATCCCTAAGCGGGCGAACAGGAGCGGGACGAACGCGCGGGTCACGTGGCAGCGAAAAGAGAACGGGAGGAAGGAGAAGCCATCCCTAAGCGGGCGAAGAACCAGAAGACGGACACGCGGATGAAGAAGGCGAGAAAAAAGGAACGTAGGGTGAGACGTCGCTATGATCTGACCGCTGTCTTCCCTTTAGTGAAACCTCGTTCCTGGTTAAATGTGAAATTCCGCTGTTCTATGATCAGCACGCTGAGGTCAAATTTTCCGACAGAGCCGGCCCGGGGTCACACAATGGGTACACCCGAGGATTCCCCACGAATGGGGTGTACACACTTAAACTCCAGATGGAGAGTGCTCATCTTTCGAGTACAACTGATGAGTCTCGAGTACAACTGATGAGTCTCGAGTATGGTGAGTTTCGACTTGCACATCACTCAGCATGACTCTAGTTACTTGAACAGGGCACACAAAAGCAACGGCGGTTCAGGGAGGGGACCAACAGGACCTTCAGAAGCATCACTTCACAAAAGCAGGTACACGCGGATGATCAGTCCGCGCTTCCCCCATGGTGGCTAGCTTCGTTGGCACAGGTCACCACCATGGGCCTGTGCCCCCTGCTGATAAAATCGAAAGAGTGGTGACAGGGCATTCTGTCACTCCGCACACACACACACACACTTCCATATACCCGTGAAACTCACACATGTACTGTATGCGTGCGAAACAGATACTTGTGATAATGCATCATTTGCACCCTCAAGCTCCTGCCGACGTCCAGCTCACCAACAGCCCAGTCCCATGTTGTGTTGTCCACCCCTTCTATGCTTGAAGTTAGACCCCCTATAGCTTTCAGCTACCTGGGAAAAAAACAAACAGAGCAAAGCAAACTCATGTACAAAGTGAGGCTATTGCTGCAGCTCCAACTCCATAGCCCTGGCCTTAGGGAGTTTTTTTTCCGGACGCTTCAAGCAAGTCTCGCCCCATCCCGAACCAGAACTCTGATCGCCTCCTTCAAAAGGCTCCCTCTCCCGGCCAATCTCGGCCGGGTCCCTGGGCTCCCTTCCACCAGAAACTTCACAACTTCCCCGGCGACGGGAAGAAAAAAAACGGGTCCCAGCAACCGGGTCCCATTTTCTGGCTTTCGGGCATGTGGTCAAAGCTGTTTCTTTGGCCGAGGTCGTATGACTCATTGCGGCTATAAGCATCCTTGGTGAAAAAAGCATCCTGTTAACCGCAAGCAAAGGGGTCCAAAAGTGACCATGGCACCTTTATCAGGGATCCTTACATTATACACCTGAACATTGCCTTGCAAATGGTGGTGTCCCTTTGTTTTGGTGGAAAAAGCCATGTTTCAATCGGGCAAAATGTATCTTTTAAGGAGCCCTGTTTATAACCCCCATGATCACACATGGATGTAACATACGCATTGCGATGCATTGCATAGATACGTGTACATGCATAGAGCATTGCTTCATAGATCTACACCCGTGCGGTGGTGGCGAACATCAAGAGTTCGAGCCCTGTGAGATAGGACTCCCTGCCAAAAGCAAACATATGAGCGATAAACCCGAAACCCTGTGCGTCGGACTGTACCATGTCTCGCGTTCTTGGGGGCTTCAACAGACCTCATGCCATCCCACACCTTCCAAAGACCTGGTTCAAAACTGGGTTGTTCGTGGAAAAAAACGGCTTTACCCTGTTAAGTGTGTGTATATATATATATATATGGGTGGGTGGGCATGTTTCTTTGCCGTGTCATTCCACAGCTCCCTTGCCAGGCTCTTTTTACTGCGATCTCGAATGCACCGAGCTGTCGCCACAAGAACGACGTCGCTACGGCCAAGAATCCCGCACGCCTGGGCTGCCCTTTTGACCAAAGGGCAGCCAGCGAGCGACCCAAAGATCGGCGCCTGCCGAATCCTTCGATAGCCGCCGCAACCCGAAACGTCCCTGTCCTTTGGGCATAGAACTTTGAAACCAAGGCCTGAGACATGTTCATTGTTGTCATGCCATCGAACATGCAGCCCAAGCCCAAGGGGGAAAGCTTGCTGCGGCCCATAGAGATTCAAAAAGAGAAGTCCTTCAAACGTCGGCGCCGTTGCGCCTAACCTTGCATCGAGGAGTCTCAGATTCGGAGCTGCGCCGAAAGCCTGAAAATCTGGTATTCCAACTGCAAAAGCTCTCTGACGCTGTGCTAAGGTGCCCAGAAGCATAGCTTTGGCAACCAGCTCATGTGGCCAGTCAACAGTAGCAACCTACATGCAGTCATTCTAGCTCTTTCTCCGCCCCAACAAGAAGAAGACTATATAGGTGTCTGGTCTACCTTTAAGCGATCCCTGGAATTCATTCTGCGAAAAACCTCTCAGCATCTGAGACCCGGCTCGTTCCTATGGCCTCGTTCACCGACCCCAGGGCGAGGCGCCCGGTGCGACTCTACGCGCCCACCGCGTCCGCCAGCATCTTGCGGCACTCCTCGCAGCCTGCAGCTCTCCCCCCCACTCTGGCCTCATCATTTTACCAAACTCATCAGGGCTGGTTCCCCTTCTAGTAAGTGAATGAAGAAAATTTTAGGGGGGACTCGTAGGATCCTCAATACTGGCATCATCATTTTACCATCAAAGTCACCCCTAAGTGGTGGGTTAAAGGGAAACAACCAATTCCATTTCCGAACTTTGAGCACCCCCAGAAACCGTCCAAATAATGACCCCACCTCTCCCTGCTCGCTCTCTGAAGCGGAATTTTGCGGACGGGGGGGGAGGGGGAAACGGGCCAGACTACTTTCGGGGTACAAAATATGCAGACTACCACGAATCCTCAGACGTACTCCCATCCTTCTCCTCCCCCCCCATCCCCTCGGCAACAAAAAAGCCAGTGTTCCAACCCTTTGATCATAGTTCCTTTCGTTTGCCTTTGGGAAGATCTGTACTCCAAAGGGCCTTGTCCAAACAATACCAACAAATGTACCCCAAAGTTCTGAAAACAGACATTAACATGCCCTTACTCAGATGCCTACAAACTAGGCGTACTTGACGCTTGGGCAACTCAAAAAGAATATGCAAAGCGTCCTGCAACCGAGAATCCAGGGCCTAACTCTGGGAACTTGGCAGTGGCTCCAAGAACATGAGTAGAAGGCCAAGAAGGGTGTGTCTTGTCTTTTGCGGGGACCCCCCTCAAAACCGACGCACCCAAGAAGGGGCCTGACTGCAATTCTCATGGAACCAGAAAGCGGAGCGCGGAGCGCGTGGCCAAAGGCCCTTGGATATGACACTGGGGGGTGACCTACTGGGTTGGTTCTATGCGAAAAGAATGACAACCTCACCCTATCGCATGAGGCATCAAAGCACCACTCCCAAAAAGATCAAAATGCAAAGCCCTGGCGGGCAAAAGGGCCCAAAAAAACCGCGTGCCTCAACGGATTCAGAGCCGCGCAATGTGGCCCAACTCTGAAGGGCACGGATTTATTTTGGGGATGGTGTTTTTTGGTTTTCTTGTTTTTTCTTGGTTTTTCTATTTTGGGATGGTTTTTCTTGGTTTTTGTTTGTTCTTTTCTTTCTCGGGCCAGTCAAATGTTGTATTTTACAGCATTTTTTCGCACGAAATGGTGACGTGTTACACTAGCCCGTCAACATCCGCAGCATGTCCGACCAACATCCCGAGCATCATCAGCAAAACGTGGGTAACAAAATCTGAAATGTAGTTGGCGAGTTGACGGGGTCGAAAAAGTGATGATTCAAATAGGCGGGCATTTCCACCCTGCTGGAAAAGAAAAAAATTAAAAAGTGGCAGGGGGGTTGGGGGGCTGCCCCCCCCCCCCATGATGTTCGCGGAAGTGATGAAGTGCAATTAAATCTCTGCCAGAAGTCTAAAGAGTACGGGGGGGGGGTTGGGGGGGGGGCGGCAGCCCCCCGCATGATGTTCGAAGAAGTGAAGAAGCCAAGAAGCCAAGAAGCCAAGAAGCCAAGAAGCCAAGAAGCCAAGAAGCCAAGAAGCCAAGAAGCCAAGAAGCCAAGAAGCCAAGAAGCCAAATCTTTTTTGAAAAAACAAAACCCAAAAAAAACGCGAACAATTCCTTAAAAACAATACCCCTCCAACTCAAAATTCCTTGGCCTGGAGCATGGCCGTTGCTGAAACCAAGTTGGGGGGAACTGTGGCATCTACTTTCGCCCAGCAATTTATACGTGTCTTGGTTTGACCCCCACAATGGGTAGTTTACCTTTGGTTTCAGTTTAAACAAACAAAGAAAGGGTACCAATAAAAAATCGGACCAACAAGAAAGCCCACAGCAGCACCCTTTGCAGTAAATAGGCCTTCTCTTGCCCCTGCTACCACCTTGAAACTGCGTGCCGTGGCACACACCTTGCCCCTGATCGTGAACCCGGCTTAAAATGGCGCATGGGGAGCTCTAGCGCTCAGGTACCCCTTAGGCGAAAGGTTAAGCCCATTCATTCCAACTCCAAGACATGGATGCCCTGTATTGTTGTTTCTCTTCACTGCCTCCCTGTGTCAGGATTGGGAAAATCTGCGCGCCGGCCTTCCTTTGATGCGGTAGGAAAATTCTCAGGCTCCCAGTTTGCAGTAATGTTGATCTCATAGTTAGAAACCCCGCGAAGGCCAAATCCGACTCGCAGAACGTTTTAGAAACCCGAAACTGTAATTGCACAATCCGGCTCAGCCAAAATCCGGAACAAAAAGAGTAGTCAATGCGCTGACCAACAGCTATGTGAGGAAACGTTTCTCAATATCCGGGGGACGTCAAACTACTATTAAGCACAACCATCCGTTCAGGCGCCGTTCTCGTTCCCTGAATATGACTCGTATTCAGTTTCAACCAAAGCCTGGCTGCAAGGAAAACCAAAGGAACATCAACAAGGAAGCAACAAAACAAAAGAAAACCCACGGCCCAAGTCGAAAATCTAAAAGAAACTGCGCAAACAAAGAAGCCCAGGGCCCAAGTCGAAAATCTAAAAGAAACTGCGCAAACAAAGAAGCCCAGGGCTCAAGTCGAAAATCTAAAAGAAACTGCGCAAACAAAGAAGCCCAGGGCCCAAGTCGAAAATCTAAAGGAAACTAAAGAAACTGCGCAAACAAAGAAGCCCAGGGCCCAAGTCGAAAATCTAAAGAAACTGCGCAAACAAAGAAGCCCAGGGCCCAAGTCGAAAATCTAAAAGAAACTGCGCAAACAAAGAAGCCCAGGGCCCAAGTCGAAAATCTAAAAGAAACTGCGCAAACAAAGAAGCCCAGGGCCCAAGTCGAAAATCTACAAGAAACTGCGCAAACAAAGAAGCCCACGGCCCAAGTCGAAAATCTAAAAGAAACTGCGCAAACAAAGAAGCCCAGGGCCCAAGTCGAAAATCTAGAAGAAACTGCGCAGACAAAGAAGCCCAGGGCCCAAGTCGAAAATCTAAAAGAAACTGCGCAAACAAAGAAGCCCAGGGCCCAAGTCAAAAAATCTAAAAGAAACTGCGCAAACAAAGAAGCCCAGGGCCCAAGTCGAAAATCTAAAAGAAACTGCGCAAACAAAGAAGCCCAGGGCCCAAGTCCAAAATCTAAAGGAAACTGCGCAAACAAAGAAGCCCAGGGCCCAAGTCGAAAATCTAAAGGAAGCTGCGCAAACAAAGAAGCCCAGGGCCCAAGTCGAAAATCTACAAGAAACTGCGCAAACAAAGAAGCCCAGGGCCCAAGTCGAAAATCTAAAAGAAACTGCGCAAACAAAGAAGCCCGGGGCCCAAGTCGAAGATCTAAAAGAAACTGCGCAAACAAAGAAGCCCAGGGCTCAAGTTGAAAATCTAAAAGAAACTGCGCAAACAAAGAAGCCCAGGGCCCAAGTCGAAAATCTAAAAGAAACTGCGCAAACAAAGAAGCCCAGGGCCCACAAGTCGCAAATCTAAAACAAACTGCGCAAACAGCCCAACAGAAACTGCGCAAACAAAGAAGCCCAGGGCCCAAGTCGAAAATCTAAAAGAAACTGCGCAAACAAAGAAGCCCAGGGCCCAAGTCGAAAATGTAAAAGAAGCTTCGCAAACAAAGAAGCCCAGGGCCCAAGTCGAAAATCTAAAAGAAACTGCGCAGACAAAGAAGCCCAGGGCCCAAGTCGAAAATCTAAAAGAAACTGCGCAAACAAAGAAGCCCAGGGCCCAAGTCAAAAATCTAAAAGAAACTGCGCAAACAAAGAAGCCCAGGGCCCAAGTCGAAAATCTAAAAGAAACTGCGCAAACAAAAAAGCCCAGGGCCCAAGTCGAAAATCTAAAAGAAACTGCGCAAACAAAGAAGCCCAGGGCTCAAGTTGAAAATCTAAAAGAAACTGCGCAAACAAAGAAGCCCAGGGCCCAAGTCGAAAATCTAAAAGAAACTGCGCAAACAAAGAAGCCCAGGGCCCAAGTCGAAAATCTAAAAGAAACTGCGCAAACAAAGAAGCCCAGGGCCCAAGTCGAAAATCTAAAAGAAACTGCGCAAACAAAGAAGCCCAGGGCCCAAGTCGAAAATCTAAAACAAACTGCGCAAACAAAGAAGCCCAGGGCCCAAGTCGAAAATCTAAAAGAAACTGCGCAAACAACAGAAGCCCAGGGCCCAAGTCGAAAATCTAAAAGAAAACTGCGCAAACAAAGAAGCCCAGGGCCCAAGTCGAAAATCTAAAAGAAACTGCGCAAACAAAGAAGCCCAGGGCCCAAGTCGAAAATCTAAAAGAAACTGCGCAAACAAAGAAGCCCAGGGCCCAAGTCGCACATCTAAAACAAACTGCGCAAACAAAGAAGCCCAGGGCCCAAGTCGAAAATCTAAAGGAAACTGCGCAAACAAAGAAGCGAAAATCTAAAAGAAACAAGAAGCCCAGGGCCCAAGTCGAAAATCTACAAGAAACTGCGCAAACAAAGAAGCCCAGGGCCCAGTCGAAAATCTAAAGAACTGCGCAAACAAGAGCCAGGGCCCAAGTCGAAAATCTAAAAGAAACTGCGTAAACAAAGAAGCCCAGGGGCCCAAGTCGGAAATACTAAAAGAAAACTGCGCAAACAATGAAGCCAGGGCCCAAGTCCGAAAATCTAAAAGAAACGGCGCAAACAAAGAAGCCCGGGCCCAAGTCGAAAATCTAAAAGAAAAATGCGCAAACAATAAGAAGCCCAGGGCCCAAGTCGGAAAATTCTAAAAGAAACTGCGCAGACAAAGAAGCCAGGGCCCAAGTCGAAAATTCTAAAAAGAAACTGCGCAAACAATGTCGCCCAGGGCCTAAGTCGAAAAATATAAAAGAAACTGCGCAACTCAAAGAAGCCAGGCCCAGTCGAAAATCTAAAAGAACTGCGCACAAAGAAGCCCAGGGCCCCAGTCGAAAATCTAAAAGAAATGCGCAAACAAAGAAGCCAGGCCCAAGTCGAAAATTACAAAAATGCGCAAACAAGAAGCCAGGGCCCAGTCGAAAATCTACAAGAAACTGCGCAAACAAAGTAGGCCCAGGGCCCAAGTCCGAAATCTAAAAGAAACTGCGCCAAAACAAGAAGCCAGGGCCCAAGTCGAAAGTCTAAAACAAACTGCGCACAAACAAAAGAGCCCAGGGCCTAAGTCGAACATTAAAGGAAAACTGCGCAAACAAAGAAGCCAGGGCCCAGAAGTCGAAATCTAAAAGAAAACTGCGGATACATAAGAAGCCCAGGGCCCAAGTCGAAAAATCTAAAGAAAATGCGCAAACAAAAGAAGCCAGGGGCCAAGTGAAAATCTAAAAGGAAACTGCGCAAACAAAGAAGCCCAGGCCCAAGTCGAATCTAAAACTAACTGGCGCAAACTAAGAAGCAGGGCCAAGTCGAAAATCTAAAAAGAAAACTGCGCAAACAAGATGCCAAGGACCAGAGTCGAAAATCTAAAAGAAAATCTGCGCAAACTAGAAGCCCAGGGCCCAAGTCGATAATCTTAAAAGAAACTGCGCAACAAAGAAAGCCCAGGGTCCAAGTTCGAAAATCTAAAGGAAACTGCGCAACAAAGAAGCCAGGGCCCAAGTCGAAAATCTAAAGAAACTGCGCAAACAAATGAAGCCCAGGGCCCAGTCGAAATCTCAAGGAAACTGGGCGCAAACAAAGGAAAGCCCAGGGCTTTTGGGTTGATCATAAAGGAAAAAAAAAAAAAACCTGGGCAAACAAAGAAGGAACCCAGGGCCCAAGTCGAAAATCTAAAGAAATGCGCAAACAAAGAACTCAATTCTAAAAGTTCTGAAAATCTAAAAGTCAACTGCGCAAAACAAAGAAGCCCAGGGCCCACGTCGAAAATCTAAAGAAAAGCGCAAACAAAAGAAGCCCAGGGCCCAAGGTCGAAAACTATAAGAAACTGCGCAACAAAAGAAGCCCAGGGCAAGTCGAAAATCTAAAAGAAACTGCCAAACAAGAAGCCAGGGCCCAGTCGAAAATCTAAAGAACTGCTGCGCAAACAATAGAAGCCCAGGGCCCAAGTCGAACATCTAAAAGAAAACTGCGCAAACAAAGAAGCCCAGGGCCCAATCGAAAATCTACAAGAAAATGCGCAAACAAAGAAGCCCGCCAAGTCGAAAATCTAAAAGAAACTGGCAAACAAAGAAGCCCAGGGCCCAAGTCGAAAATCTAAAAGAAACTGCGCAAACAAGAAGCCAGGGCCCAAGTCGAAAATCTAAAAGAAACTGCGCAAACAAAGAAGCCCAGGGCCCAAGTCGAAAATCTAAAAGAAACTGCGCAAACAAAGAAAGCCCAGGGCCCAAGTCGAAAATCTAAAAGAAACTGCGCAAACAAAAGAAGCCCAGGGCCCAAGTCGAAAATCTAAAAGAAACTGCGCAAAAAAGAAGCCCAGGGCCCAAGTCGAAAATCTAAAAGAAAACTGCGGCAAACAAAGAAGGTCAGGGCCCAAGTCGAAAATGTAAAAGAAACTGCGCAAACAAAGAAGCCCAGGGGCCCAAGTCCGAAATCTAAAAGAAACTGCGCAAACAAAAGAAGCAGGGCCCAAGTCGAAAATCTAAAAGAAACTGCGCAAACAAAGAAGCCCAGGGCCCAAGTCGAAAATCTAAAAGAAACTGCGCAAACAAAGAAGCCCAGGGCCCAAGTCGAAAATCTAAAAGAAACTGCGCAAACAAAGAAGCCCAGGGCCCAAGTCGAAAATCTAAAAGAAACTGCGCAAACAAAGAAGCCCAGGGCCCAAGTCGAAAATCTAAAAGAAACTGCGCAAACAAAGAAGCCCAGGGCCCAAGTCGAAAATCTAAAAGAAACTGCGCAAACAAGAAGCCCAGGGCCCAAGTCGAAAATCTAAAAGGAACTGCGCAAACAAGAAGCCAGGGGCCAAGTACTTGAAACTCGCAAACAAAGAAGCCCAGGGCCCAAGTCGAAAATCTAAAGAAACTGCGCAAACAAAGAAGCCCAGGGCCCAAAGTCGAAAATCTAAAGGAAACTGCGCAAACAAGAAGCCCAGGAAGCCCAAGTCGAAAATCTAAAAGAAACTGCGCAAACAAAGAAGCCCAGGGCCCAAGTCGAAAATCTAAAAGAAACTGCGCAAACAAGAAGCCAGGGCCCAAGTCGAAAATCTAAAAGAAACTGCGCAAACAAAGAAGCCCAGGGCCCAAGTCGAAAATCTAAAAGAAACTGCGCAAACAAAGAAGCCCAGGGCCCAAGTCGAAAATCTAAAAGAAACTGCGCAAACAAAGAAGCCCAGGGCCCAAGTCGAAAATCTAAAGAAACTGCGCAAACAAAGAAGCCCAGGGCCCAAGTCGAAAATCTACAAGAAACTGCGCAAACAAAGAAGCCCAGGGCCCAAGTCGAAAATCTACAAGAAACTGCGCAAACAAAGAAGCCCAGGGCCCAAGTCGAAAATCTAAAAGAAACTGCGCAAACAAAGAAGCCCAGGGCCCAAGTCGAAAATCTAAAAGAAACTGCGCCAAAGAAGGGCCCAAGTCGAAAATCTAAAAGAAACTGCGCAAACAAAGAAGCCCAGGGCCCAAGTCGAAATCTAAAAGAAACTGCGCAAACAAATCTAAAAAAACTGCGCAAACAAAGAAGCCCAGGGCCCAAGTCGAAAATCTAAAAGAAACTGCGCAAACAAAGAAGCCCAGGGCCCAAGTCGAAAATCTAAAAGAAACTGCGCAAACAAAGAAGCCCAGGGCCCAAGTCGAAAATCTAAAAGAAACTGCGCAAACAAAAGAAGCCCAGGGCCCAAGTCGAAAATCTAAAAGAAACTGCGCAAACAAAGAAGCCCAGGGCCCAAGTCGAAAATCTAAAAGAAACTGCGCAAACAAAGAAGCCCGGGGCCCAAGTCGAAAATCTAAAAGAAACTGCGCAAACAAAAGAAGCCCAGGGCCCAAGTCGAAAATCTAAAAGAAACTGCGCAAACAAAGAAGCCCAGGGCCCAAGTCGAAAATGTAAAAGAAGCTTCGCAAACAAAGAAGCCCAGGGCCCAAGTCGAAAATCTAAAAGAAACTGCGCAGACAAAGAAGCCCAGGGCCCAAGTCGAAAATCTACAAGAAACTGCGCAAACAAAGAAGCCCAGGGCCCAAGTCAAAAATATAAAAGAAACTGCGCAAACAAAGAAGCCCAGGGCCCAAGTCGAAAATCTAAAAGAAACTGCGCAAACAAAAAAGCCCAGGGCCCAAGTCGAAAATCTAAAAGAAACTGCGCAAACAAAGAAGCCCAGGGCTCAAGTTGAAAATCTAAAAGAAACTGCGCAAACAAAGAAGCCCAGGGCCCAAGTCGAAAATCTAAAAGAAACTGCGCAAACAAAGCCCAAGCCCAAAGGGCCCAAGTCGAAAATCTAAAAGAAACTGCGCAAACAAAGAAGCCCAGGGCCCAAGTCGAAAATCTAAAGAAACTGCGCAAACAAAGAAGAAAGTCGAAAATCTAAAAGAAACTGCGCAAACAAAGAAGCCCAGGGCCCAAGTCGAAAATCTAAAAGAAACTGCGCAAACAAAGAAGCCCAGGGCCCAAGTCGAAAATCTAAAAGAAACTGCGCAAACAAAGAAGCCCAGGGCCCAAGTCGAAAATCTAAAAGAAACTGCGCAAACAAAGAAGCCCAGGGCCCAAGTCGACCATGGTCCTTAGGTTCATAAAGTGTGAGGAAACCTTTGCGCCTCTCGAAAAGCGGACGTCCCAGCCGGGCTCCCCAGCCTGTGGCGCCCCCGCGCATGGACATGTCATAGGCCGTGAGCCCGTCCGAGCTCTTGGCCTCCGGCTCCGTTCCGGAAGGCCGAGGGGGTTCGTTTCGGGGCCCCTGGAAAAGGAGACGACCCCTTGGTGTGGTAGAGAAGAACGTTCTGTTTCTTGCAGCCCAGAACCAGAAGAACGGAACAGGACCAAAGACGACTAAAGAGCCCTAAAAAAGGTTGCTCGGTGTGGACTTGCAGAAAGCTTAATGTTTTTACACACACGCGCACACATTCAGAAAGGAACATACAAAAAAACTAACATGCTAAAAGAAAAGAAAAAAACTGGACAACAACAGTCAATTTAAAAAATACCAGCTGGGCCAGTCCAAAAATCTACATCCAAGTACAAATCGTGTGCTTGCATGTATGTAAGTAACATGAACTTTACCAGCTGATTTACAGGACCCCTATGCAAATCAGGTGGTTTCTGGATGTAGCCTGCAAGGAACCCGGGCAAAACAAGCGAGCCGGGGCGGGGGGGGGGGTCCGATGTTCTTCGTTTGGATCCGCTTTCTTCGGAGTTCCAACCTCGGGCGGTAGCCCCACCAGCCCCTCAGCCCCCTGGGCCCACCTGCGGAGCTGAACCCGGAAGCTTCTTTTGGTTGCCGAGACCGACCCAGCTCGTTAAAGGGCCACTGAACCTGGGAAATTCACCATTGGGTTGAGGTCACAAGAGGGGGACAAAAAAAATGGCTGCATTGGTTTGCGATAGACGTTCTTTGGTGAAATAGACGGGTTTATCTGGTAGATGGAACCAAACCCATCTTAACCTGTGTCATCTATTTCTAACCAAACTAACCCAAAAAGGACACCTCCCCCGTCTGCAGTAGAGGGTTGTGTGTATGCCTAACAGTCACTGTTGGTGGCTCACTTCGGGGCCATTTAAACTGCAACTACTCCAATGATTCCAAATCCTGAAAAGAAAAAGGACGACAGTTCCTCGATCAGATCCACCTCCCCCGACAGTTCATATACAACCTGCGCCACAGGAATTTCCAGAAGAGGAAATTTCTGAGGGGACTGGGGGGTCCCCCATTCTCCGTGGCCGCCAAAGTCTTATCCTGGCCAAGAATCTCACTCAGCAATGCAGAGAAACGAAACTCGCAACTCAGCTCAGGAGATAAAATATTGTGATTCGCCCACTTGACTGTTGGCCAACATCGAACATATGTTTGTATTAGGCCTCAATAGAACTCGCCCATGGACAAATTGACCCCCTCAAAAACAGTGCTCAGATGCCCAGCGGCCATGGCCAAAAAGGCATCCTTTTTTGGTTGACTTTCAAGGGAGTCCGGTCCCAAAAAAAAAATGAAAAAAGGGCACCACTGGGCCACTGGGACTGGGTTCTGAAATACTCCCCGCTTCGATGCCAATGCGAGGCCTTCCCAAAAATCATAAAACATCCTCCGTTTAAAGGGGAGCTTCTCTGGTATCACGTGCGGGGGATCCAAGTTTCCGCTCAAAACAAGAAAAAGTTCACTTTGAGGGGCACAGTAGCAAAATTGTCTATTTTGAGCATCTGTTGTTTTCTGTGTGCTTCTTCTTTTGTTTATTTTTTTTTCATGGCATCTGTTTGTTTTGGGCATCTGTTTTTTTTGGGCGTCTGGCATCAGTCTTGGTACTTCCCCTGGTTGATCCTGCCAGTAAATTTTATTTTTGCTTTAGGGCATCGGTTGTTTTTTTTTGCGGCGCGCCCACGGGGAATCCGAAGGATCGATCCTTCCCGCCTTTGCATCCGCACCTGCGTCCAGAAGAAGCTTCACCTAGCCGAAGCGTCGAGCCGACGGTTTTCCCATGTCGCATGGGACAAGGAGCCCCAAGAAAAAGGCGGCTGCACTCTGGGCTGTTCCCCCAGATGCCTGCTAAAAGTCGAACATGGAAAAGTTGGAGTGGTGTGGAAACGACCACCAAACCAACTAAAAACAAAGACTCAGGGGATGGCTGGGAACCAGGCATTTCTTGAAAGGCTCTCAAAGTTGCTGGGCGTTTGTCTTTCTCCCTCGGAAAACAAAAAAAGGGGGGAAAGCATTTAGAGGCTTGGATTTTGAAAATTTTGGCAAAATCACCGTTGGGGCCCGGTGGCTCCCCTAACCAGCATGTGCTGGGATAATTGTTTGAGGATGTTAAATATTCCGCTGGCATGGTCCAATGGCTCCCTCCCAAGGCATGATGCGCGGGAATAACTGGGACAGGTCTTGGCCTGTGAAAGGGAACCGCAAAAAGGCGCCAGCTACACTTGGACGACCGGCCCATTCAGAAAGTGGTGGAGAAGCCCCAAGAATTTACCCCATGCAACTTGCGGGAGGTACAATCTGGGGTATCTAGCTACTTACCTGGATCTACTTACCAACTGGGCCCATCGAAGGCAGGGGAGAGGAAGGTCTTGAGCGTTACTGCCGGCCACTCCACTAGGTGATGCAGCCTTACAAAAACGGGAAGCCTGGCCGTGGCTTAAGGGACCATCTCCGCATCGCGTTCGCCTGATTGGAACAAAAGAAAGCAGAAGAGCAGAATGTTCTTCCAACCACCAGGTGCAGGACCTCTGTCAATTCAAGCACCCTCCGTTCCTTTTCTTGGTTGTGCAGTTTGGGATCGATGTACACATCCCAACGCCCAGGCGTTCGAAGGGGTTCCTACTTGGATTTTCGGCCAAGGGAGAAAGTGGTTAGCATTTGGATTCTAGTCCCACTTGGGGGGACCTGTAAGTGAGTTTTATCTGAAAGGCACTTACAAACTTGGCGAATCGAAGACCCAAGTAGGTCGGTCCCTTAAGTGGGTTGTAGGTACCTTTACCTGGGACTCAAAAATCCGGGGTTCCTAGAATGGCCTTTGACTCCACAACGAGGCATTTACCCGTGGAAAATCCGGTTGTCCAATAAATAGTGTACTGTGGATAGATGAAATCCTGCACCACCTAAGAAACCCAAAAAACAGTCTTCCCCTACCAACAACCCGTATGGTTTCCCATGGGTTCCAAATGGTGCGAACGGACTTTTGTCCCACGGCATTTCGAGGTGTCGAAAGTCCACTTCCGAGAGATGAACCCACCCAAAACAGGCTTTGGGACCTGCAGGGTTGGAGGCAAGTCCATCTCCATCCCAACCCACAAAGGTGATGGAGCTTTGCCCAACCAGGTGTTCTAACAGAAGAACCAAAAAAAAACGGAAAACATGAGAAGGGAAAAAAACGAAAAAGAAAAAATGGAGAAAAAACAAAAAGGCATTTGGACCTTTTGGGCTTGGAAGAAAAGGTTCCATCTCCCACCCCCATCGGATTCCAAACACCGTGCGCATCCGCGGCCGCGCCATGTCGCTGATGCCATTGGAGGCCGCCGACATCAATGGCGAACGCCTCGTGTCGGCTGCGTCGAATCGGACCCCCCCAAACAAATGTGCTTCGGTATCCCCCTATCCCCCTACCCCCCCCGCCCCACCACCGATAGAGGGAGAAAGGGGGGGGGATCCCTCAAACCATTTGAGCGACTCTACAAACCTCCCATGAATACCTGTGTCGTGTCAAGTTGCTTACGCGCGAGCTTGCGCTTTCCTTACGCGATCCATGTTTTGGCTTACCCGGCAGTCAGTGAGCATGTTAAGCTTACGCATCGCTTACGCGTCGGCGTTTTGAGCGTTTCCCTCAAGAATTGCTTACGCGGGCTCCTTGTCTCATGCAGCCGCCAGAACTGTTCAAGATCACATGGACGACTTTGGTTTCCCTAAATCAGTGGTTACAGAAGCCTGTTTGCTCCAGTAAAGGTTGCAACAGCACCCAGCATGAGCCCCAAGAGCTCTCAACCAAAGCTCTGCTGTTGCTTTCTAATGGCGCGCACATACGGTCTTAGACGTCTTCCTGCAGCCAAAGTCTCCGAGCAAGTTGCCAAGCTCGGCTAGGTTGCAACAGCACAAGCCACGAATAAACACATGGGCGAAACAACTCTTCCGAGCATGCGTACAAAGCCTACCAAGCAATCACGAAGGAGAGCTTACGCAGGTGCTTACGCAGCATGCTTCCCCAAAAAATACTTACGCCGGCCGCAGGGTTTTGCTTACGCGGGGCCCTGTTATGACACAACTCTTGCTTGGGATGTAACGGGTTTTTTTTAGAGCTGCTCAATTTGTTCAAGTCTTTCCAAGATGTAAAAAAAAAATGGATGGAGATCTCCAGTCGAGATCCAGTTCCCCTCCCCCAATCAAAAAATTTGTAAGGGGCCCAGTGCGATGTTTCGAACCTCCCGTTGGATTTCCGTTAAAAACCCGCTGAGGGGAGCTATATACAATCAAAAAAAAAAAGAGACACGCCCCAAGTGGTTGGCGCTTGGATGCCAGCACAATATTGCATGCACACCACATCAGGTTCGAAACAAGACTTACTCACTTTTTCTCTATGCGTTTGGGAGAAAGTGGGACCTGGGCAGACGAGTTCGCCCCAAATTTAACCAGGGGACCGGCCAGAAGTTGTCGAGACGGCCTTCTTTTGGCGGAAGGCCTATCAGGAATGGTGAGGTCCGATGTTGAGTGACCGTTGAAACGAGAAAACTCGACCAAGACCCGAATTGGACATAACATCGCACAGCAATGCTTCGAAAATGCCCCCAAACCTCCACTTGCGTCAGAACCCAAAACTCTGTTTGGAAAAAGGCCGGCCTGTCGTCACATGAATTCGTGTTTGGATAGTCACTTACGGCAAATGTGGTTGCCTCCAAAACCAAAACCTTGTAGGGAGAAAAGCTCCTGCCTGATGGAGGTGGGTGGTATAGAATTAAAACCAAATCAGCGGAATGCATAGACCTAAGTCCCTTAAGATACAAGGACTGTATTATCATGTGTCTCAGAATTGGGACCGAACAAGAAGGGGATGGGTGAGGCTTCACAATGTGCCTGCATTGCATACATGTGGCGCATGCAGTCCTTCTCCTTGCTGCACAGGCGGGAGTTCTGGAGGTCCCGATCAGTTGTTCAACTCTTGCCCCCCCTTCAAGCCCCAAACAAGCTACCCCCCAAAAAGAAAAACGGACGAAACCTCCCCCTTGAAACCCACCCCAAACAGACGACCCGCGCCGAACACATGGACGCAACCGGAAAACCCTTCCTTTGCTTGAACCAGGGTCGCCCCAAAAAAACCTGGACGCAACCACTGAGGCCCTCAGGCTCTCCTTGGCCTCCGGTCCATCCCTCCCTTCGGCCCTTCGGGCCTTCGGCCCTTCGGCCCTTCGCTCCGGGGCTCCGGGCCCGGACTTGGAGCCGAGGTTCAGGTCCGCGCCGCCCTCCACCAGCGCCTTGGCCGCCTCCAAGCACCGCGAAAAGCGGCGGCGCGGCGTTTCGGCGTTTCGGGGTGATCCGGACTAGAACCACGGAGAAACAAAATGGGGGGGGCACCCACAACTCGAGAAAGAAAAAAAAGGACACGCCCGTTTGGTGCTTCGTTGTGGACAAGCACGTGAAAAGAAACCGTCGTCTTGGCAGAACAAGTTATTTTTGACTGTGGAAGTGAGCTTTCAAGGGCGAACGGGGGTGATGGCGGCAACTGGCAGCTGGCAGCATAAGGGCACTGCCAAGTAAACCTCTTTGGTGAGTTTGGGGTGTGCTTCCCTAAAATTGTTTTAAGGTTTCCCTTGACAAAAAACTCGCAACATCAAAGGACCTGTTGAGACTAGTTGAGACACGGTCTCACCATTTGAGCAACCTCTGAACCGCTAGGACAACTACAGACGTGCCTATACTTACTCACAAGCAAAGACTAAACAACTCTTGGCAGGTGTGAGGAGGTTTGGCGGGGCTTTGCGGGGGTTGACTTGGCTGCGGTCCATTTCTGGCTCTTCCGGCTTGTCTCAAATTGCAAACCCCCAACATGGTGTTCATCTGCTTTCCCTTTACATCAGCCCCAGAACAAGCACCCTCAAAACCAGACACCCTTATTCCCAGGTCCAGCGGCCAGAAACTCCGGTATTTGCTCGAAGCCCCCAACCTTGTATTCCTCTTGGGTTGCTGGCGGTGCGACCAAAAACCCGGGCGTGGCAGAAAAAAAGCCGCGGGCTTGAGAGTAAAGCCCACGGGCTTTAAGAGTCGTTCTGAGCGGCTCGTCAAACACACTGAATCGGCTCCGTTAAGTGTTAAAACTTCAACCAAGTCCGCAGCTCGCCAAACATCACACGTCCTGACGGCGTTTCATATGGGTTTGTCTGTTAGGCGACCCACACACATGGCAATGGTGTCCTTTTGGTCTACCTGTAAAACCAACCAATGCTACTCAAAAACAGACGAGCCAACCATATTGTGTCTACCACAAAATGCGAGAAGAAAAAATAAAAATAAAAAAAAAAAAAAATAAAAAAAAAAAAAAAAAAAAAAAAAAAAAAAAAAAAAAAAAAAAAAAAAAAAAAAAAAAAAAAAAAAAAAAAAAAAAAAACAAAAAAAAAAAAAAGAAGAAGAAGAAAAAGAAGCGAAAAAAAGGCGCTTTGGGAATCGGAGACAGTTCAGTGGGCACGGCTTGGCTTCAATTCGGTCCAACCGGCTGGCGCTTGCGCGCTTGCGCCTCCACCTGGTCAGCACGGACCGCATAGCGCAGCGCCGTCCAGCCATAGGAGTCCTGACTCGATCCAAAGGTCGAGAGGGATGTTTCCCACGCCTCTTGGGCTCAGTGGGCCCCGTTGCAGCTGCTCACACCAGATCCTCTCCCCACAAAGGGAAAATGTTACCCTTAGGTGGGCTGGTAACCAGAGAAAAGGGGCATGATGCGAGCAAGGACTATGTACTCTTTGGGCGGCTCTTGAGGCTGAAGGGGTGCTTTTTTGGGGTTTTGTGGTAGTTGGTTCTAAAAGTGTTGGCACTCTGGCAGTTCACTCTGGGGGTTGATTCCAGGCCCTGGGTTCCTTGCGACAATCCTTAGGAAAACAAAGGGAGGCTGTATCAACCCAACCATTCTCTTGATGGTGGCTTGAACCCCACATTAGGGTTTCATTCTCACTTTGGGGTTGCTCTGGAGGATGCTGGGGAATGTACTATGTGGCCCTCGATGCACGTTCTGGTGGATTCCTTTCGCTGCCCACGACTCTAGGCTCGCGGACAGCCGAGGCTGGCAGTTCAATAATTCTTCTAGCCGGAAAAAGGCGACCCGGAGAGCCATTCTCAGAGTGTGTTCGCCCTGGTGTTCAATCATCCTTCCGTTCAAACTTTCAGCCGTGTCCAACTTGCGGTAAAAGTGGACAGAAGGATCCCCAGAAAGAATGGGGTAGTTACCCCTAGATTTGTACTTGTGTGTTGATTCACCGCATCCTTCAACCCCTGTAACAGGAGAACCACAAAGAGGGACTGTTTGAACCACAATGCGTTTGTTGCTCTACTCATGTATTCCAATGAATGGAAACCTCAAGGAAAGAAAAGGAATCTAAAACCATACTCCCCTTCCAAGAATAGGGGCTCTCTTGACCAGGGGCTCACTGTTCCGCTGACCAAAGCGGCGCCGACACCTATGCGCATGCAATACGTGAACTGTTTGCTGCCAGTAAAGTGTCAAGGACCTTTTGATCAACCCCCAGGTTGATCAAAATTCCGTCCTGGGCGTCCAGGTTGGCGCCGTTCTTGATGTAGCCCTTCACCTCCTGCGCGAGGAAAAAACTTGATCTTGGGTTGGGGTTTTGTCAGGTTGGAACTTGAACAGGTGCGCCTAGGCTTGGGTCGGGGCTTTGGGGCTTTGGGGTTTTGGGGTTGGCTTTCTTTCGGGTTGGCGTAAGGTATGGGGGTGATTGAGTGTTGGTTTGCTCACTTGCCAAAGTACGAAAGCTTGAGGCTAGCTGTTGAAAGTGAAAATCAAAGAGTGAATCGCCATGGTCAAGTAAGGGTGGAAATGTCAACGGAGCAAAACTCGGAGAACCCCCAAGACATGAGGAAACACCACTACAAGGATGCCAAATCGAATTCTTTGCTCTCTGGATGCTCTGAAAATCCCTCCCGAACCCCCTAAGTTGGCGCTTTTCCCATCTTGTTAACTTTTTTTGATTGTGAGCCCAGAAGGCCTCCATTTAACCCATTCTCCGAAAGGGACGAATAGACCAATGACGGGGGAGGGTCCCTCCCCCTGATAGTGAAAAACAAACCTAGCGATTTTCTGCCTGATTTTGACTAGACCTTGGTGCGACACACTTTGGTGGCACTGTCCCAATCTGGTCGTAACAGCCCAAGCTATCTTTCTGATTCTCAGCAGGGAGTGAGTTGGAATGACCTCTATGAACCATCCCCTATAGTTTCCTTTCAGGCACCACTCAGTACCAAGCTGTGCCAAAATGAACATGTTCCGCATCTGGCCTCATGTTCCCTTTTCGTGCGACCTGGAGAGCCTGCAAACGCCCTTGCCATCTTTGAAGATAGGCGCAAGGATCTGTCAATCACCAAAGCTGGGGCTGCATCTGTTCATTGGCGCTGCAGCGCATCTCTTCGACGAAGGAGTGCCGCAACGGCAGGTGCTACTTTGAAAACTGTGCAATGGCCAACACTTCGTGCATTGGTTAATAGGGATAAAGGTTCATGACCAGTCCTACTCATTGCACAGGCATCGGAATCCTCATCTGGAATTCATGACAAGCCTGCTCAGGTCATCAAGTAACCAAGATGTTCGAAGATAGCACGCACTCCACTGCAGATCTCAAATACAATTCCATTTGATAGGAACAAAGTCTCTTTTTGGGGCTGTGTGTAGCTGTGTAACACTGAGTTGTAAACCTCATCTTTCTATAAATCTGCTCCTTCCCACCCCCCCCCCCTCTGCCCAAACACACCACACCGGTTTCCCTCACAACTCGGTCTTGCCCAACGTAATGTGATTTGGAAGGCGCGCCTGGGTCCCAAAAAAATGTGATCTTTGCTTGCCAGACCCCAAGGAACGTATCCATGCAATTCTCCACATCCACCACGCCTGGCAAAGTGCGTCAGTACGTCCTTCACAAAATAAAAAGGTTTGTCTGTTTTTGTTGGTCTAAAACCCTCGTGTGAGGCTCTCGCAAAACTGCACGAACCCCCCCCCAGAAAAAGAATGGGGCAGTTTCCCTTGCCTCTGAAAAACGCCGCACCCCCCAGCAAGAAAAGACACCATCTAGCAAAGAGTGCCTTTGCGCACACGCTCACACACGCTTTCGCGTGCACACTCACACACACATACAAAAACACACACACAAAATCGGCTTGCGACTTTTCCAGGCTCAAAGCAAAAAGAAGCATTTGGGGTGTCTCAAAATTGGGGGATCCCCGGGGTGAGTTTGTTTTGGCGTCCCTTTAAAGCCAACCAAAAACAAAGGGCGTACCTCCTTTGTTGGCCCTTGTGGGGCGTACTGCCTGCTGATTTACTGCCTGCTGATTTCCCTACCGCCCCATCGGTGGCCTCCGCGTCACCCTTGTGGGCCGCCATCATCAGCGGAGTGCTGGGCGCACGGGTTGCATGGGGAGGTTCTCACAAATATCGCAAGACTGCGAGTGGTTGCGAAAATGCGTGTCGCACCACGAAATGCACTTGTTTGATGGCATTTACCTTAGGCAAGAGTTCATCCATCCGCAGGGCAAAACAAGCCAAGTGTTGAAACCAAGCAGGTTGAAATGAAATGAAAACTCATCAATTCAAAACGGTTAAAGACAGCTGCAATAAGCTGCAAACGTGTCATGCCAAAAAGGTGAAGACGAGTAAGCTTGCATAAGCTGCAAACTCACCATGCCAAAGAGGTTGAGGGCAAGTTGGCTTAAACAAAGTACAAGCGAATCCTTCCAAGACGGTTGAAGACATGTCAAGCAGGCTTGGATCAACTGGCAAACAATGCATTCCGGAAAATTGAAAACAAGCAGGCCTAGATAAAGAATAGACGAATCATTCCAGGAAAGCCGAAGACAGGCAGGCTTCAATGAACTGCAACCGAACCATTCCAAAGTTGAAGAGCAAGCTCATAGGAATGGATTGAAGAAGGTTGAAGACAAATTGTTGCTTCAACGAACTGCCCACCCCCACCCTCCCCGGGACTTTCGTCCTTTTCAACCCGAGGAAAATCAAAGGTTGGCCGACAGTGCGACGGTAACAGCGCATCTCAAATTAGCGTTGCACAACGGATACCTTTGGGGACACTAAGGAGATCAACAGCAACCACCAAATTGACTAAACCTAGCAACCGATTCGCCACACCTAGACCAACCAACAAGGTGTCCACATTCAGGATCCCGGTGCTAGGCCAGGTAGATGCAAAGTTGGGGATACCACCCGGGCTTATTTTCCCAGCCATCATGAAGTCGCCTCGAGCATACACTTCGTGCGAACCTGGAAGGCCCTCTTTGCGATTCGCTACATCCAAGGTGCACTATGTGGGATAAAAGCTCTCAAGCAATCAGTTTCTCCATGCCTTTGGGTGGCTTACGGGACCCGTGGGACGTGACTGTGCAAGCATCCCGGCTGCGGCAAGAGGATACACGGTGCAGCCAGTGCTCGTACGGCGCCACCCAGCCCCGGAACCCCCTCGAACGGCACCCTCCCTGAAAGCTATCTGGGCAGAGACCCCCAGAACGCTTCAGCTGTTGGCAGAAAAAAAACGAGTCAGACTTTCCACGTTAACCACTTGGCGCCCACAATTTGGAGCGCCGCAAACAGCCAGAAAGTTTGTTGACCCTAATTTTTCCAGCAGGGAACACGACCGGTGGTGGTCCAAGGTTTGTGCTTGTCAAATATACAGTTGCCCGTAATGGGCATGGGAAGATGTGTGAGTCGCTCCATCTTGAACTGAAAAACAGGGTTGCTCCAAGAAAAGCCCGCCACACGTCCTTTGGAGTTTGCATCCTACCAGGGAAACGGGGCCCCTTAAAAGGATACATTTGGGCCAACTGAGCTTTCACGGGTTCAGATGTATCCACGAAGCTCAACTTCGAATTGCTGTTGACCCAGTTCCTCTGACCCCAACCTGAAAAGGGCACCAGCCCAAAGCAACACTGATGAGCCTTGTTTAGAGGCTGGTTTGAAGGGAAACAAAACTCAACGGCTTGGTTGTTAGGCCTGGTTCCCATTAACCCTCGAAGAAACACCGAAAATGCTCTAATTTTGAAAGGACACTAAAAGGAAACTTAAAGGACACCAAAGCGTGCTCCTATTCTGAGAACCACCCATATGTCAGGGGTCGCTTCCCACTACTGCCACTACCTCTACAAACGCCGAACATGTTTGACCACCAATCACAAGCTATATGGGAGTCTCTCAAACTGGTGGACCCCCCATTCGTTTGTATCTAATTTTGAAAGGACACTAAAAAGAAGGACACCAAACATATTTGGGGTGCTCCTATTCTGAGAAACACTCATATCTCAGGGGTCGTTTCCTATATGGGAGTCGACCCTCCTCACATGTTCGGTGTTTGTAATGAGCTCATGGAACATCACCAATTAAACCCACCAAAAAAGAAAAAGATTGATTCACGTCCACCAATCACTGTCAAGGTGAGTTCCCACTAAAACTCGTAGCCGTATCTCAGGGGTGGTTTTCCATGACCCCTCTCGAAAGTGTCTGACCACCAATGGCAAGCTGTTTGGGGAGTCTCTCAAAATGGTGGACCCCCCTAACATTTGCGGTGAACCACCAAACAAATCCAAACCAATCCCAAGCTACCTCTCTCCCCGTTCCGTCTTGGTTGCTGTTGACCCCTCTGCAAAAAGTGTTCAACTTTTTCTGGGCTTCGTGGAAAACCCACTGATTCCCCAAAAAGTGAAAGTCTAAAGATCCAACCCAACAGCAGTCAAGCCGTGCCGCTTCTTTCTTGGGCCCCCGGGCGTGCCGCCGTCCCCCAAGGCCCCGCTCTCATCGAAGCCCAGAGACTGCCGGGCGGTGAGGCGTCGCTCGCCTGAGGGTCCGAGCGGTTGGCACCGGACCCCGAAGGAGCCCAATTTCGCATCCCGAGCCTTCCAAAGACCCTTTGTTAAACTGTTTGTTGCTTTGTAGCATACCCTAGGTCTGCTTGGTGAGACCCGTCGGTGGGGTAATATGATGAATATGAGTTTTGTTGGTGGAAAAAATGTCCTTAGGTGGGTGACATGGGGTTGTGGACTTTCAGGGTGTTATTCCTGCTTCAAACCAACGGGTAACCCGGGGAGAAAAAAGAGAGAGAGAGAAAAACAAACAAACCCATGTGCCGCAAATTCTTTGGCTTGACCTTTTCAGGAGATGGACCATACTCTCGAAAAGGGTGAGCTCTTTTGGTGCGCTTGACACACCCCCCTTGTAGTGCCTTCCTCTCAAGCTAACAATGGGCCACCAGTCGTTCAATTCAAAGCATTAAAGAAAAAACAACAACGCTCGGAACCTCACAGCATTTGCCCACTTGGTGTCGAAACCAGCTCAGACCGGGAGCATTTCTATGTGTGTCTATTGCCCCTGCACGTAGTGAGGCGGGGAAAACACATGTTAAAAGATCCAACGCAAGAACCGCCAAAATTTGGTGACCCCTGTTCTAGTCTGGCTCGCCATCTCACCCTTTCCTCGTTTTGGCCTCCGCGTGGCACGATCGGGGCGACGAAGAGGTACTGGCACCTTTGAAGCGAAATGAAACGAAGAATCGGACACCCACATTCAACCTTTCTTGGCTGGTTCCTTTTTAGAACAAGCCAAACAAAAACAGTGCCCAACAACAAAGCGACCGCCCTCCAGGCTCTCCCCCCCCACCCAATAGTCCCCCTGTGACCCGTGTGGATGACTTCAGTGGGCCCCACCACGAACAGGCTGCCATATGTACAGGGTCATTTTGCAAGCTCTTTAGTCCATGGCACGGGAGGGTAGCCCAAGGGATGGTAGGAGGTGGTAGGGTTAGCGGGCGGAGTAGGGCCTTCAAGAAGGCACACCACAAAACACACCAAAAAGACTCAAATGGACCAAGCATAGAAACGTGTGTTGGGGGGGGACTTGGCTACAAAGGCGCATTTGCGCGACCTGCGTTGCCAGCCTACGCTGCTGGGCTCAAGGCAGTGCGCCCGCTTGCATCTCGGCGCCCCACCCCACCGTCCTCGCAGTTGCTGTTGTAGATGGCTTCGGCGGCGCGATCGGTGCGCTGGAGAGCGTCCCAGCGGCGCCGTATTTTCCTCTGCTTGCATTTGGCAGAAGTAGAAAACTATGTCGCTGGTGCGCGGGCAGCGCGCGGACGGCGCCGCCCACAGGTTGACAGAAACGTTCTGGCGACGTCTAGCAAAATCTGCGCCTGCGCCGCTTGTTGCTGCACCCGGCCTGATCTCGAGTTCGTTCAGTTGGTGTCACAGCGTGGAAGCTGCGCCGGTGCTGTTCCAGCGGTTCTTCGGCTCCCCAGTGTCCTGGCGGAGGTGTCCTGCGCATGTTGAGTTGTGGCTTTCACGCCACGCTCGAAACCCTGCACAAGATTGATTGCCAAGGTTAGAATTACTACTAGCTTGCTTGGCCGTTTGGCGCGCACCTCCCAAATCCTCAAGACGCTGCGCCGGAGAAGCTCGAGTGGAATTTAGTTGGGTTGGCGCCCAGCAAGTCAGCCCACGTCTTTCTGGAACTCCCTTCGTGGACCTGCCCAGCCAAGAAAAGAAGGGCGAGCTTGACTTTTGCTTGGCCACAGTAGGAGTCATGTTAATCGTCATTTTTACTTCGAAGGCCGAAAGTTAACCCTTTGGATGTACGCCGATAGCTGGCCTGTTGACGCTGTTTTGAACCGTTTCCTACGAGAAAAACCACACATGCTCAACTCTGATGATTCAATTGGCAAGCAGCCGCAAATCTGTAGCAGCGTCTTCCAGGCGGCATCCGCATTGGCTACCGGTCGGTGTTGTCTAAGCAGATCTGCACATGCTTCCGCCATCTCTTTTGGAAAAATCTGTCGGATTGAATACAGGATCCATTTTTGTTTACGATGCAGACAAGACGGCCAAGAAGTGGACCTGAGGGTGAACATCAGCAAGAGCGACATAGTCGCCGTCTTGCACCACAAACCTGGCAGGCCACAAGTCCCCAGCGCCGCCAAAGTCTTGAAACTCGAGCACTAGCCAGCCTGACTGCACCCACCGTCGCGCTGAGACCAGGGTCCAGCTTTCTGCGAAGAGGTCGTAACCCAGCAAGCCTAAGCTCAGCGCAAGCTACCATGCAGTGCGTCGAGAATGCTGAAGCGCCGTTTCCTACCCGATAGTCGGCAACTTTGTTGGCTCCAACACCAAAAAAAGGCCGCTAAGCGCAAGGCCCACAATCAAATATATTCAAGGCATGCGTAAGAGCTTGCAAACGGAACAGCTGGGGCCTGTTTTCCGTCAAGACAGCATTGTCGTGCAAAGCCCTTGACCCCGCGTGACTTTCCAGTTGCAAGAGCGTGAAGCCAACTTTCACAACCTGCGGCCTCTCTGCGCTTCAGTCACTTCAGACCGCGTGTGTTTGGTTTTTTGCGGCGCTACGTGAAGAAGCAACACCACAAACAAAGACTTAAAGGTGCTGTGTCGCAACCCTCTCCCGGGTCTCACGATGACTAAGGAGCCAACAAAGGCAGCTTGAGGCGTCGAATTGTGGCATTCCCAACGTTTCCAACGCTGGCCCGTAAAATAGCATTGTTTTCCTTGTTACACTGTGAGCAAAAGAAGGAGCTAGAAGCGGCAGCGCGCGAGGGGCTGCGTGTGGTTGCGCCAATCTGTTGACAGCGCCGCTGGAGCCTCTTCGGGACATAATCAAGTTTGCCTGCGCGAGTTCACCAACACCAGCCTGTTGGGCTGTAGACTGTGACGAAAATCTTGACTGCGCACATCATAGAAACCTTCAACCTTACAAACCCTGCTGAGTTGGAGACGACTGCTCAGCTAGTAGACCAACGTGCACCTATAAGTCATAAATGGATGTGTATAAAATTGTTTGTGTTTTCACGTTCTCATACTACGACAAATGTTTTGTCTCTGTGTGTGTGCGTGTGCGTGTGTGTGTGTGCCTTTTGCAGTATGTTTAGATCCGTACAAATACATACCCGCTTTGCATCACACCCTGAAATGTCATCCAAGGGCTCAAAACGAGCTTGACAAGTCAAGCAGTCAACAATCATGCTGTGTTGGGAAGTCCCAAGGGTTCCGAAGATGACAGGCTAGATCTTGCGGCAGGATCTCATCTGACCGACCGACTCCACTTACCTTGCCACCCGTGGAACCCAGGGCGGACGTCCATCCAACGGGACCAACGTGAGGGTAGAAGCCCCTTCTAGCATGGCTGTTGGCACAAGTTCTTTGTGCGTATCTGTCAGGGAAAATTCGTAACTAAATCCCACGTGTAACCAACTGCGTAAACACCATCGTAAACTCTACGTAAACGATACTCCCTTTACAACAACCCAAAACGCGAGACTTGGCCGTTTGACATGTCGATTTGCACGGGGGTGTCATGCCTTTCATGTGAACAAAAAGTCGTGCCCAAAGGGTTCCCTATTTTGCGACACATCGCCCACCGCACCGTTCTCGTAGCGATTCTTTGCGTTCCTTCAAGGGGGAGGCACAAAGTGGCGAATGTTGCTCCAAGCTGGGCATGGGACCCCCCCCCCCCACCCCTTTCAGTCAAGCAGTACAATTGGTATGTGTCAATATGGAAAACCCCCAAAGTTGCTTCACTTTCCCCAAATACACTGTAAACTCAGACTAGACATAACTGGGATTGAAGTTATTTGACTGTCCCAAACGCAGACAGGTGAGAAAGCCGAGGCAAAGAAAGGTATACGATCCGCGAAAGCAAAAAAACTGCCCAGTTTGGGTGGCAGGTGCTTTAGCGCCTAGTTGAAACATCTCTCATGCGGTTTCTGAGGGTATAACCCCTTTTTAGGTTGGTTTTAAAGGGAAACCAAAAAACCGTTGCTCGCCAATCGGCGGCCATCTCCAAAGACCCCTGGATCCGAGTGTTCCCAGTCTCGCAGAGACCCCCCACGCCACGAAGGCCAGGAGCAACGCCTCGGGCGTGGAAGGATGGCAAGTCCATCCGGGCGTCCAGCAGTCCATAGGAGTATTGGAAGCCGAAAGGTCTCTTGAAATCTCCATCTGGGTGTGGAAAATCTCCATCAGTGTGTCTCTTGTTCTTTGGAATCGGCCCAAAAGGCTGGCTTCCTTGGATTGGAAGCGCCGTAGGGAAAGATATCCTAGGATGCCACAGGTCCGGAAGTCCACAGGGCACATCTCGGATTGCTTCTGCCAGTCAACAAGTCCACAAGTCCATAGGATTGCTTCCATAAGGAAGTTGAACTTGGAAGCCGAAAAATCTCCATCGTGTGTCTCTTTTAGGAATCGGGCCCCCAAAACGTGGGCTTCCTTTTGCTTGTCCGTCCAAACCAACCCCGAAAGGGTACCCTTAAAAAGGACAGACCCACCTTCTGCTGGAAGCTCGGCAGAAAAAAGAAGATGAAAAATGAAAAAACAGCTGTGATCAACTGGTGAGTCGGATAAAATGTCCTGAGACCTGCCATAAATCCGGCTCAAACGGTACCCATGCTTTCATGAGATTGGCATACGACCTGCATGGAATGCCACAAATTGCAGTCTCCCGCAATTCCCAACCCGCAGACAAGGAACCCCCCGAATAAGGGACTTTTATCATTTGTGCTCTCGTTGTACCCCTAGCTCGGCATAATTGTCTCAAAGGCCGGGGATCTTTCCAGCAAGCTGCAAGAACCAGCATGCACGGCCCTACTTGTTTGCAAAAAACAAAACTGGTTGCAAGTCCCGGCGTTCCAAGCGTCACCAGAAACCTATGGCAACTTAAGCTTGACCAGGGCAAGACGTGGGTCAAAAATATTCACCTGTCCCCAGATCCCCTGCTGAAAGTGACCAATGTTTAGTGGGTTAAAACTTCAACCCACCCACTAACCAACTAAAAACAAACCACTGTAATTACTGTAAACCTAAGTTGAACCGGACGATTCGCTGGTTCCAAACCGCCAAGTGGTGAAAAACTCATGGCCCTCATGTCTCCTTTCGGTGCCCGATCCGCTCAAAGAAGATATCGATGAGCGAACACTGCGAAAAGGGGGGCCTGGAGTGAAATATCCAAACGATTGGCGTGAAACCCTATGTATTTACAAGATGGAGGCATCGAGCCCGAGAAAACACCATGGGGAAGACATAAATCAATGTGCCAAGATTTCAGTCACAGCGATGCATCCCCATGCCATTTGGCTGGCTCCTCCCTTCTTGGAGTTGAAGTACACCCCTCTGTTTGTGGTAAAGGAAAACCAACAGTAAAACCGAAACGTGGCATGCTGGGGATATCCCTCAAAGGAGGCGCACCCATTTGGGGGGGGGAGGGGCGTCCAACGATCGTTTACTCACAAAGATGCGGCTTCTGGATTCCCCTAATCCCATCAATTTGGTGGAATCCGCAATCACTCGACTCGTTTTTGGCGAATGCGCTGTTCCATTGACCCCCAGTCAGGTTTCATTTTCAGCGGATGGGAGGGTGGAATGGTGCCGTATACTTTCACCCAAAAGGTTCTGCATCGTCACCTCTGGTCTTTAAATTGGAAGCAGACATGCGCCTTTGCTTTGCCGGGCAACGGGGAAGGCCTCTCGGTTAGAACACGGCATTTGGGGGGGCCGAAAAGCCCGGCCTGCTGTACGCGGTTGCTTCCTAAGTCAGCGAAGACCTCCATTTTGAATTGGGGGGGGAAATGAAAATCTGACCAACGTACTCACCGATCTCCCATTCCCATGTGTCCCCAAGGACACTATGTGTTAAGGGAAGCCAATAAGAACCCCACCAGTGTTTTCCCCCCGCCCGGTCTCTTCTCTGAGGTCGCAGGCAAGGACGCCTTAGGAAAGGCGAGGTCACACCAATCCACTCAATCCATTTGTGGGAGGAGGGGGATTGCAAAAAAAAGAAAAACTACTGTAGATGGTTGCGAAATCCGTTTCGCACCACTTTGAAACAATGGTTGAACCCATTGTTTGTTGGTATTTGCTGGATTGTCTTCTTTTATCTTATCGAGGGTTTCTTAGGTGGTGCGAAATGGATTGCGGCCATCCACAGTATGCCTCGCTTGGGCAAGCCCATAGCGAGTCATTGATCGCCTGATGCCAACTGGGCTGTTGAACCAAGGTTCCGGGTGAAGACTGCAAAGTCAACATTCTAGGTCAAGCGAATCTATCTTGGGGTGGCACCCACCAACCTTGTGTTGTTTCCCCTTTGGCTTCCCTTCAAAACAGACCAAAAAGAGGCACCAACTCAAAAAAGGGACCTATCCCACCAAAATTGCGTTGTGTCCCTTTGGTTTATCTTTAAAACAAACCCAAAAAAAAGAGAAAAAGCAAAGGACAAACCCAAGTAGTCCCTTTGAGGTCCTGTGCTTCACCCAGGTTCCATGTTTCGAGACCTTCGACGTCATGACCTGCACGGGAAAAAGCTCGCGTCTCTCGCCACGCAGAAGCTCCGGGGAGGAAAAGCAGTAGGGCTTTCTATGTGGGGGCCTCTCGAAGTACTCTTTGGCTTGTTTCTTGGTGCGATTGTTTTTTTTGTTTTTTGTTTCGTGAAGGGGGGGGATAGAAAAACGCAACAAAACATTTTGGGAGCTTGGGTTGGTACTTGTTTCGGGGGGGGGGTGGTATAGAATAACGAAACAAAACATTTTCGGAGACCTTGCTGTTTTGCAAAAATCGCATCCGAGACTGCCTGAGGCGGTCCCGACACAGCCAAAAAACCACCTGAGTACATCCGTTCAATGGGCGGCTCTTGTGGGGAGTTGATACTCCTCTTTGTTGGTGGTCTTGAAGCAAGCCTATCAGAAAAAACACATGTTTTCGCTGTTACTATTTTTTGGGGAACAGTCCCTCCCAAAAAAAAGACAGACTTGGGTGGCTTTGAAACATCTGGCCCAGATTTATATCCTAACTCTGGACCTCGCATTCAGCCCTCCTTCCGTTGGGCTCGGAAATTCGGAGGCCAAAGCCGTGGGCAAAATGGCACAAAAGGAAGCGAACGGTGACCCCATGCCGGAGGTCACTGCATTTCCCCTTGGCAAATTCACCACCCCGGAACTGCCACTCCGAGGTTCCAAAAAGGGAAACCAGCGGAACCGAATCTATTTCTCACCGAACTAAACCAAAAAAGACTCCTGTGTGTCTTTTTTCAAGGTACATAGTCTTAATGGGAAACCAAAAGAACGACCATTGCGCCTTGTGGGGGGGTCCAACCTCAAACAAGACACACCCACCCTATGCCCACCCACCACCCCCGGGTCCCCACTGCGGAGGTCTCATGAAATCGCTTGCTATGGCACCGGGCGGCTGCTTTTCGCCCTCGGCGACGGAAAAGCCCCATGCTCCCAAGCAGCATCCAAATAAATACAACGAAGCTCACCTTCGATTGCCCAAATATATGTTGGTTTGGTGTATTTTTTTTATCGGAAAATGACAACTGAAAACAGATTCGGGATGGTGTAAGGTCCGGGACCGGTCATGTCGACCGAGATCGATCAACCCATTAACAATTCAAGGCTGCTTCCACAAAACGTGAAGGATGATCGGTTGCAAAAGACGGGACACCCCCAGAGACTCGCTGATCAACTGTTGTTGGGCATTGGTGAGACTTCCCATGAATCAACTGGGCAGGGGAGGGGTATTAATCCTGGATCAAAGTAGAGTCATCTGGCCCTAGTTGGGGTGTAACTTACCAACCGAGGTTACCATCCACACTTCCTGGCTGGGCTGGTCATCCAAGCAGCAACCAGTTCCGGCTTGTTTCTCTGACTATCGATTGCCCGACATGGCCCAGGTGGTTGGCACATATCTCAGGAGGTGAGGTGTAAACCGAGCTCCTGTCCACTTTCCCCTTGTTGCTCTTGCTCTGGCCAGCCTTCGTTGGTTTGCCCATGTTGTTTCGTGTAGTCCCCGTTGCCGTTGGGCAAAATGCGTTCTGACAAGCCCCCCTTAAAGGACCGTCAAAGGGAGGAACAATAGTGGTTCCAACATGTTTAACATCGACCTGCGCAAAGAGAGAGAGAGAGAGAGAGAAAGGAGAGGGAGAGGGAGAGAAAAAGGGGGAGAGAGAGAGAGAGAAAGAAAGACATAAAGAAAGAAAAGAAGAGAGAGAAAGAAAAAAAGAGAAGAAGAAAAAAAAGGGAGAGAGAGAGAGAGAGGGAGACAGAAGGAGAGAGAGCGAGGGAGCGAGAGGGACAGAGAGGAGGGAGGGAGAGAGAGAGAGAGAGAGAGAGAAAAAAAAAAAAGAGAGAGAGAGAGAGAGGGGAGAGAGAGAGAGAGAAAGAGAGAGAGAGAGAGAGACAGAGAGGAGGGAGAGAGAGAGAGAGAGAGAGAGAGAGAGAGAGAGAGAGAGAGAGAGAGAGAGAGAGAGAGAGAGAGAGAGAGAGGGACAGAGAGGAGGGAGAGAGAGAGAGAGAGAAAGAGAGAACGAGAGAAAGAGAGAGAGGGAGAAAGAAAGAGAGAGAGAGAGAGAGAAAAAGAAAGCGAGCAAGAGAGAGAAAGGAAGTCGTTGGACCCCGTTTTGAACGGTATCAGGAGGAGGCCAAAGGAGAAAAAACAACATCTGCGGCTGAAAGACACCCTGCCGGTCGGTTTGCCCTTTGCAGCATTCGTGGGTGCAAGTAAAATCACGGCACATTGCCATCAAGAGACGTTTCTTGCACCAAATGTTACACTGTCCCTGTGAGCCTTTAACACCTCACCAACCGATCTCTGGAAACCAAGAGGCCACGCCTCAAATTCGCATGGGGGATGCGATCAAGTCTTCAAGGGGGACATCCTCTGGAATTTGCAAACACCATTCTGTGGATGGGCGAAAACCGTTCGCACCACGAAATAAATCCATGGTTGAAACAGTTAGTACTTACAAGGGTTTCTGCAGGGTTGTGCAGAAATGTTGATGGATGTCGCGTCACCATCCATCATCTTCCCTCTTAACTCAAGCAGCCCTGGCGGGAAACGGCTGAAAGCCAGCCGCTCCAAAGGCTGGGGTGCGGGCATCTTCTTCAAATCGTTGATTGGAACGTCGCCACCAAAAGCTGAGAGCCAAACGCCGAGCCGTCCAGGTTCCAATCGATCACGTCACATGGATTTTGAAGGGTACCCTACTTGGATGTTTAACCAAGTTATATAGGAAGTTGTTAATCTAAGTAATAACCCACGTAAAAGCCCCCCCCCCAAAGTGATGTTGGTAGCGTGTATACCCCAAGTGGCTTACCATCTACTTACTTGGCCGAACATCCAAGTCGGTGGCTTTAAATGAAAGTAATGACCCACTTACAAGTACCCCCCCCAACCAAGTGGCCACCGTTACTCACCATTTACCACGCCAAGATCGGTGGTCTCAAATGGAATTTCTGGGAAACCCATTTTCCCCCCCTTGCGGATGGCAAAGTCAAACATTCGTGGAGATAGGACTCCCGTGAACCCACGAGAATGGAAATTCGACTTCCCGAAACCCACGAGCCTTGCTCACAATGTCTGTGTGTGTGTGTGTCTTTTGCCGCACGCAAAAAAAAAGGGCCGGAAGCAGTGGAGTGGAAACGGACACAAACAAAACGAATGAATAAACACAGAAGATGCAATAAGCTTCATCCAGCTCAACGGAAGACGCCCGCTGCTAAACGAAAGGCAGACGGTGCCGAAACCAGTCGCGGTGAGCCTCATGGCCTTTGGAAACAACATATGTCCAATTGGCGTACAATGTTACTCCCAACCGTTTTGCGGCAACTCGGCTCCTCCCTGTAGAGGTGTTTTTCCTTCTTAGTTCCTCTTTTTTGCGAACCGCGATATGCAGAGCTTCACACACTCGTCAGAGGAAACCTCGTCAGAGCAGATTTCTGAGACCTTAAAGTGTCCTGGAGGACTCGAGGCACTGAAGGTCTCAGAGATCTGCTCTGAGGTTTCTGGTCTGAGTGAAGCTTAGCTCGCGCGCCGCGAGCGAAGTGACACGAGCTGACGTCTTTCCAGCTCTAAATACTCCGATGCATTGATGCAGCTCCAACCGCCACATGCCATCCGGAGATTCGCCGTTCAACCCATTCGCAGACCAGGCACCAAAGGAGAAGACTCAAGGTCCTCCCCTTCCCCAGAACCGCCCGGAACAGCTTCCACAAGAAACGTGGTTCAAGAAAAACGCTCCAAGCTTGCAGCAACCTGCCCCAAGACGGGCAGGATGCCATGATTGCCGGATAAGAAGACCGGAGCGCATTAACCAATTGTTTCCACTGAAATCCGGGCCGGGCTCAGCCATATGCTCGTTCCAGCAGAAGATATTCCGCACGTCCAGTGGCTTGCCAGCCGGCCGTGAGCATTTCCGCAAAGGAGAACGAGGCCGCGGAAGCCTGTTTCTTAAAGGTTGTTCTTGGGGTTGTACATTAGCAGCAGCACCCTGTTCACATCTTGAAACACGCCCCACTGCCGGTAACATGTTGGTGCGGTCTTGGTTGCAATACTCGATGGCAAAACTACTTGCTTTAGCTTTGCAAGTTGGCAGACGCTCTCCAGCGCATAATCTCCCTTTTAATGGCACCAAAGCTGGTCCGCACGACGCATTTTGCTGCTGATAGCTGCATGCCGAGGCCTTCAACAGCATTAGACATGAACTTTGTTTGCGCATGCACAGCAGCGTAGACAAGGAAAGAGGCTCCCAGCGCGGTGCTCACTAGGCTTGAACTCACCATCTCAATGCACAGCGGACTGGCGTGATCGCAAGAGCCGCTCGGATTTTTTAAAAACAAAATGCAAATCAGAAGATCAAACTTGGTGTAAAATTCTTATGAACATCAATCATGAGCGGCGGACAGATGTGACGAGTTGCGTCTTTAGGCCTGGGACATGGTATAGCGGCGCCCACAAGGATTCGGAAAGTTGCTGTGCATTCGGATTAAACCCCGTCACACCAAATCGATCCAAAGTTATACAACATCTGGAAGACAGGTGCCGCATCCAGGCGGAGCTAGAAAAATGCTCAAGAAGTGCAAAATACCAAGAATAGCTGTACCACACTTGCAATTCGCTGTGAACAAACATGGCAATGACGTAGAAGGTCTTCGACAAACCTGGCGCCGAACAGAAGCAATGAATTCCGGTAAACATACCAAGTGCCCAAAAGATCTATATGCGCCGCGCTCACTTTGTGAAGGAAATATCCACGAAGGCCAAAGGCACTCCGAAACAGAAAGAAACTCAACCACGACTTGTCCTGCCATCGTCAAAAGCCAGGTCCAAATAGACCGTGTGCCAAGGACCATAATCGAGAGCGCTCCCACAGCACGCCAGACTTGCCGAAGATTTAATGCGGCCAGCACAAAACCGGTAATGTGACCATGCACTCCACCGTCCATAAGCTAAATACGTCTGCACGCAGCCAAGCCCAAAATAGAAAGCATGAACGCCAAGGTCAATCGCGAATCGACACTGTAAAAAAGTTAGAGCTGTCACGAAGGGATAAAAATGGGTGCGGATTTATTTTGGGATTGTTTTTTTCGTTTTTTGTCCGGGCCAGCAAAATGTCGTATTTTGCAGCATTTTCTCGCGAAATTGACGCATTTACAGCTCGTCAACATCCCTAGCATCGTTTTCAACATCCCCCGCATGTCCGACCAACATCCCTAGCATCACCAACAAATCGTGGGTAACAAAATCCAAAAATGTAGCTGGCGGGTTGACGGGGTCAAAACAATAATGCTTCAAACAGGAGGGCATTTCAATCCCAGCAAAAAAAAATCAAAAAAAAACAATTAAGAAAAACAGAGCGGGGTAGTGATGATTCGAACAGGGGTGCAGTTAAATCTCTGCAAAAAGTCTAAAAAGTAGCGGGGGGGTTGGGGGGGGCGGCAGCCCCCCCCATGATGTTCGAAGAATTGATGATTCAACTAGGAGGGGTGCAATTAATTAAATCTCTGTAGAAAATCTAAAACGTAGCGGGGGGGTTGGGGGGGGCGGCAGCCCCCCCCATGATGTCGGAAGAAGTGATGATTCAAGTAGGGGTGCAATGATTCAAGAAAGGGTGTGATAGAATTTAAAAGGCAGCGGGAGGGTTGGCGGGCGTGACTTCCCCTATGATGTTCGAAGAAATGCATACATACAGACATACATGGATTGCACAGATTACCTAAAATGTTGTATTTTGCAGCATTGTCTCGCGAAATTGGACGCTCGAAAAAGTGATGATTCAAAGGTGCAATTACTCTGCAAACAATCTACACAGTAGCGGGTGGGTTGGGGGGGGGCTTCCCCCCCATGATGTCCAAGTGATCATTCAAATAGGGTGGTGGTGATGCTGATGATGCGGGAAGCAAATCCAAAAAACCCGAAGGATGCGAAAAGCCAAAGCCGCCAAAAGCCGCATAAACCAGCGAAAAGCCGCAAAAGCCAAAACGCCACCTGCCGAAGAGGAACTGGGAATGCACAGGATGCGAAAAGCCAAAAAGCCACCAAAAACCGCATGAACACACAAAAACCGAAAAGCCCAGAAGCCCAGAAGCCGAGAAGACAAGAAGCCGAAAAGCCGAAAAGCCAAGAAGCCAAGAAGCCAAGCCAAGAAGCCGCAAAGCCGCAAAGCCAAGAAGCCAAGAAGCCAAGAAGCCAAGAAGCCAAGAAGCCAAGAAGCCAAGAAGCCAAGAAGCCAAGAAGCCAAGAAGCCAAGAAGCCAAAACTAAAAAAACAACCTAAAATAAATACCCCTCCGATAAAGATTTATTTTGACCTTTCCCAACTTGCAACAAGTTTCAGACAACGTTGAATAGGCGCAGCGCCAACCCTCTGATTGGCTTTTTGCACCTTGAACCAAGTTAGCAAGACTTTGAAAAACAGTGCGCCAAGTTCCTGGCTGAAACTCTGCATGGAAACAACTATCGCATTTGCCTCCTAATTGGCAATTCCAAAACATTGACAAAGAATGAATGAATTTCCTTTTAAGTTGGAGCCAAGTTGGAGTCGTGTTTTTTGGCATGGTTTTGTGGAATAACAGTCAAAATAACGATTAAAGCATCATGGAAAATCACAAAGCACTTTCAAAAGAACGGCGCAGCAATCGCTAGCAGCCAGCGCAGGTCTGCTTGTCACATTGGCTTGTGAGGGTGGGCTTGCTCCACTCTCTAAGTGGTCGAAATAATTTGTGAAAAGTCGGATTGACTTGTGGCTGTCAAACTGCCTTGTGAGACTGGTCAGATTCGCTTGTGCCTCGGGTCGGATTGGCTTGTGAAAGTGGTCAGACTTGCTTGTAGGTGTCGGATTGGCTTGCTGGAGTGGCCGGATTGGCTTGTTCCCGCCCCCCCCGAAAGCGTCGGATTGACCCTAAGCCAAGCCTATGGCTGCACAAAAGGCAAAAGCAAAGCTTAAAATCAATCACAGTCACAGTCACTCACTCACATCACACCCACTCTCATACTGCCTCACCCTCACCTGCCTCACCTCGCCCCACAAATTCACTCACTCCCTCACTCACTCAATTGCTCGCTCAATCACTCACACTCACTCACTCACTCACTCACTCACTCACTCACTCACTCACTCACTAGTCACTCACTCACTCACTCACCTCACCTCACCTCACCTCACCTCACTTCACCTCACCTCTCCTCTCCTCACCTCCCTCACTCACCAGTTTAATCCTTTCCTCGCGCACTCACTCACTCGCTCCCTTACTCACTTACTCACTCACTCACTCACTCACTCACTCACTCACTCACTCACTCACTCACTCACTCACTCACTCACTCACTCACTCACTCACTCACTCACTCACTCACTCACTCACTCACTCACTCACTCACTCACTCACTCTGCTTTCCTGCTGGCGTCCCGGCTAGCAGGCTGCGCTGCGACGAAGGCCTTGGTGGCGAGACCCAGCAAAGCATTTGGTATCTTGGCGTCTACCTCCAACGGCGCGTCCAACCCGTTCACCGTACAAAGCAGCCGTGGAAAGCAGAGTGAGTGAGTGAGTGAGTGAGTGAGTGAGTGAGTGAGTGAGTGAGCGAGTGTGAGTGTGAGTGTGAGTGTGAGTGTGAGTGTGAGTGTGAGTGTGAGTGTGAGTGT